ATTGAGAAATTAAATGTTGAACATTTTATTTAAGAAAAGACAAAAAATTCGCTGTCGCTGATTTCATTGAGGAAATCAACGAAAGTATTATCAATGGCAGCACAATCAACGGATAAAGTGTTCAAAATGACCTCCATCTAGTTCCATTCAATAATACAGTCTACTTTAGAAAGCGTTTCTTACATTATTGAAGATGTCCGGATTCGGAAATCGGCATTCCCGAACAATTCTCTGTCGCAGGTCTTCTAGATTTGTAGAATTTACTCAATTAGTAGTAAACGTTTTGAAATGGACGACACTGTTAGTTTTTTCTGCACTGGTAGTTTTTGTTGAATCTAGTTGTCGCAGAACTAAAAATAGATAGTTGGCCACTGTCACTTTTTCACGAATTATTATTGAGTCATCCTTGTTCACTGTGTTCCAACATGGTTTATTCTACTGAAGTAATAACAGAAATGTTCTGGCTTTCTGGCCGGACTGTTCCTAACAGTCAGAAAACAGGCCCCCAACTAAATACTGAAAATTTTGTCGCGTTAACCTTTTCAGTCCACAACTGACTCACTGATTTTGGACGATCCGAAATAGTACTAACTGAGAACCAGAACGAACCTGAGGTATCTCGTCCTGTCAGAAATGACGGAGTTAAAGTTACAGTTTTAGGACATGTGCAAATGGATAATCGACATTCTATGAGACAAGTAGCTACAGCGTCTGGTGTATCAGCTTCTAGTGTTTTTCGGATTTTGAAAGCCTACAAATTCCATCCTTTCAAAGTAAGGATAGTTCAGGAATTAAACGAAGATGATCCTGATCGTCGACTTCAGTTTTGTGAGGTGTTAAGCGAGAAATTGACCAATAACCCAAACCTATTAAACAATACATGTGTTAAAACAACGATAAAAATAAACACAACAATAAAAATTAATTGGCGCTCCGGGGCGACTTAATTGATTCCAGTGGCGCATTTGCTTTTTCAGCTGCAGGAAAACCCGGAAAAACCTGCAGCACCACATCATCTGAATATCTTGATCTACCAATGTCCTCTCTTTTATGAAACAAAATGTAGGGTGTCTCCAGAGAATCCAATAGATTCAATGCATCGCCAGAACACTTCGTGACACGACTATCGTCAAACTTAAACCAGTCCGTTTCGTCTTTGACCAAGGCGTAATAATGACCAAATTCAACGCCAGAACCACAGTGAACAATGACTGCATGAATATTATAATAGTGGTGTGCTAGATTGAAATGTTCATCTATTTCGAACCTTCCAAAGAGTTTCTTGCTTCCGTCAGAGGTTGAGTCTTGTTTGAAGATCATCATTGTCATTATTAGATTGAATGGTGCCTCAGATATACTTGTTTCCTTATAACAGTCAGTTAGTTTGGCGTATGTTTGGCAATACAGACACAATACAAACACAAGACGAGATGGACAGTACGGAATCATTCAATCCAGATCGTCAGGAGTATTGATTTTGCTATTGTTTTGCTCACGAAGAGTATTCAACAAGAACCCCAAGAATTCGGAATAATCCTCTTGTTGTCTTAACGAGTATCTAGTGGACTTCAAAGACTCCAAGAAATCAGTTGGAGGGAAAGATTATACATTCTTACGAAACTGCAGCTACATGAACAGGTGTTTGAGTTTGATGAATAAGTAAGAAACATTCCCGTTCTCGTTCATCATTAAAACCTTGTTCTTGAAATTCTTCGTCATGAACAACACTTGTAAAATGCTATTCATGTAGCAAGTGTTTGCTAAATTTGCCAATCCAATTTTCTTCTCTACATTTTCAGGACAACTCTCTACTTCATAAGAACCATTTCTCAAGCTGCAATCGATCCTTCCAAGTCAAGAAGGGTTTCGTAGAGGGATCGATTCGGCTCTTGCTTCATGAAGCTCTTTCACTGAAAGGGAACCAGAACTACGAGGACTGCAACTCATATTTGTGGGGCAAGAATGACCTGAGTCCACTGACCGCACTGAAAAAGAAGAAGGTGGATCAATCACCACATATCTCGGCTTGTTTCGAAGAGAATTCAGTTCCGTACTGAAATTAGGGCAATGCATGATCTCATCAAAACTATGTGAAGGAGGAATAGTTCCAAGGATCGAAGCAGCATTGACACGTTGAATAGCAATACTAATTCTTTCTATCAAAAAAGAGGTAGAACGGTGATCTTTCGTTGTTTGGCCTTCTCCTTCCGAGTTCATGAACGAATAACAGAGACTCCGAGCCATAAACAACCAAAAGTTTCAACCGCTACTGGATGGAATAGATAGTTGTTACCAAGATTTTGGTATTTTTTTCTTTTCAATTTCTCGCCAGACAATGGTGCAGTTCCAGCAGACTTCGAATTTCCGGCTAGATGGGAAGCCGCGACCGTGTCAACGCAAGTGCCATACCTGCACTTGCGTTGAAATGGTATGAGAAATATACCATCTGGTCGTTTACCATCATCTCGACTGGTACCTAAGGGTTCCAGAATTGCAGGAACATCCGCTGACAACATAGCTCGTTTCAATATGTCGTTCACATGGTGATGTCGAGATGTACGCCCTGCACTTCTTCTGCAACTCAAACCATGTATACCTTTCTCATCAACTATACTACCGCAAACATAAGTATGAGGCACACAAATAGATGAACCCATCTTAAGTCCTACTGCTATTCTGAAAGATTTATCGTCTAATAGTGTTCCAAGAGATGCAACAGGTAAAGCATTCAGCCAAGCACCCAATTGCTGCTTTCAGACGAGCCTTATCGTATACGCTTGTAGATTTCTGAAGCTTATAATGTTCAGAAGAGGTTGGTCCCATGCACTTTGTATTTTCTTTTTATCTGTTGGAGGAGCAATATTAGTTGCGGCATGCCAAAGTGATTCACCTTTAGCATAAAAAACGTCTTCGATATTGATAAATATGGAAGGAGGGATGGAATCGATGAGATTAGAAACAGTATTGACTGATGATAGAGAAGCTGGTAAAGCTACGGAAGAAGTCGAACGTAGCCCTAGTCCGCCAAGTTTAACAGAAAGCGTTGCTTGGAGCCATGAATCATTATTGAAATGATTGTTCGTAACATATTCCGTCGTGTTGGGGAGTAAATTATCAAATTCGTCAAGCTCTAACTGACTTGACCAAGTGGGGGAACATCTGAGGGCGTACATGAGTTTTGGAATCGCCCAACAATTTTTCAAAAGAAAAAATGCAACGTGTTTTGGAAGTTCATTCAATCTGGTGGTTAGCAATTTGAGTGATTCCCGTTTTCCTAGAAGATGTTCTGAAAGGAAATCTTTAGAGAGAGAAGCACCCAGAAGACTCCATTTAGACTTTTCCAAAATTCTTATGCCAGGAGCCAATTTCAAAATGGATTCGGAAATATCGGAGTTGAAAGAGTAATCAACTCGCATTTTTCGAAATTTAGTTCAAGTCGAAGATGTTTTGAATAATCAATGATTTTTTCTAAATCCTTTGAAACACTGTTTTCATCGCCAGCGATTGAGCCATCGTCCAAATATCAACAATTAAATTCGGATGATAAGCTTCTAGTGAATTTATTGATGGTCAGACAAAAAAGAGCAGGTCCTAGGGCCTAGGGGATCACCTTATTGAACACCTCTCTCAGACAGAATCAGATATTCACCAAAACCCAAATAGGAAGCTGAATCAATAAAGTCGCCCCGGAGCGCCAATTAATTTTTATTGTTGTTTTTATTTTTATCGTTGTTTTAATAACTGAAATATATATTTTTTGATAAAAAAAATACATGTGTTTCAGACGAAAGTTCTTTCATGTTGAATGGTGAAGTGAATAGACATAATTGTCGTTACTGGAGCGATGTGAATCCTCATTTTGTGATAGAAACACATTCACAAACTTCACAAAAATTGAATGTCTGGGCCGGAATTCTTGGTGATCATATTGTTGGACCATTCTCCATTAAAGGTAATCTCAGTGGAGACATATACTTAATTCTATTACAAGACTGTGTAGATTCTATGATTACACAAATTTTAGAAAATGATGACAGTTCAGTAGAAAATGAAGTAACATTCCAGCAGGATGGTGCACCCCCACATTTTGATTTTTTGGTGAGACAGTTTTTGAATGAAAGTTGCCTAGGATCGGCAGAAAGGGTCCAGTGGAGTGGCCAGCTAGATCACCTGATCTTACACCGATGAACTTCTTTCTGTGGGGACACCTGAAGTCGAAAATACCTGCGACAAATAATTGTTCGGGAATGCCAATTGCTGACTCCGGACATCTTGAATAATGTACGGAACGCTTTCGAGAGTAGACTGTATTATTCAATGGAACTAGGTGGAGGTCACTTCGAACAGTTTATGTTTCCACTGATATTATTTGTTGTTGATTTCGTCATCAAAATGAACGACAGCGAAGTTTCTGTTTTTTCTTAAATAAAACGTTCAACATTCAATTTCTCAATAACGAATGAACCAATTTCGAAAAAAAAATACAGAGGTAATAGAGGGACAAAAGACCCTTCAAATGATGTATCACTCGACCCCTCTTGCCATTGGAAAAAGTAGGTGGTAATTGCTAACTGCAGGGGGGTGAAGTTTCGGGTATGATTTCCATATTAGAATTAGTCCCCCTAGAAATAAAAATTGACGTATTATTTGAAATTATTGATTACACGTCCGTTTCTGACTTACAAGTGGGGTCAAGTTTTCGTTGGATCGCCCTGTATAAGAGACCGCCTCCTTCATTCTAGATCATTATTGTACCATCATTCGCCTCATTCGTCCATATTTTCAGCGAACAGTTTTCCAGGCTTGGTTTTTCCGATGGATCAAGTTATTACATTCCGATCAATGTTTTATGAGATAAAAACTGTAAGCCGAATGGCTTAGAGTTTTTATCGGAATTTTGAAACAGTAATAACGTACACTCAGCTCGGTTTTATGATCGACTTTTCCATTATTTGAGAGACTGTAACAGTGCCGGATCAAGTTTTTTTTTAATATTTCAGCTGAAGGAGATAAAGGAAGAGGAACCTTGGATGCCATATTAGCAACAACTTACTGCAGATCACAAATTCATTTATCAAGGCAGCTGGCTCTGCTTCATCCGGAGTTAACAATGCCAATGTTTTCAGGTGAGTGTCTGTGAATAGTCTAATTTCAAATTTCCGTATGAAATTTCGTTTATATAATTAGGATAGTTTTATTATATCAATAGTGTGCCACAGTGACAGCTCGTGCATTGGAGAACATTGGAGGCTTAAGTCATATAGACTATATACACACAGAAAAGCCCGCCGGAGGCGCGAAAATTTTTATGTTGTTGCACACTTTGCTCAATACTTAAGTTAGGGCATGGGCATGAAAATGTGTAAAAAGTGCATGAGGAGCTATGTACTTTATTTTAGTTTGTAAACCATTTAAATGGCCGGCCATGACCGCAGCCTTATCATAGGTTTGCGCAATTAACTTTTGCCTAAAATTATAGGTGTCACACGTACGANTTTCAAATTTCACAATAAAATTTCTTTCATATAATCTTATATCAAAAGTGTCCCTACTCTAAAGTTGATAATCAGATATAAAAAATTTATCAAATCAATGCAGGAATGAGGCGTTAGGAAACCATGTTTTTCAATTACAAATCTTATTAATGAAAAAAAGAATCAAGTTGGAAAATGATTATGTGGCAACATGTTTTAAATGCTTACTTCCCTAGGTTCTATTTTTATTTATGACTCCTAGATAATTGAAAAAACTACCAAGCCTTCACAAATTGAGTTACATAGACGCAAAAAAATTAAAATATACAAATACAGGACCATTTGCAGAATGAAATAATTTTTATAAAGGGAGAGTTCATTTCACTGGGACACCTACAAACGTTTTCGGAATTGACATGCAGAAACATCCAACTGTTTATGAGAACTAAATCAATGACGAGAAGACTTACGTATTCAAAATTTAATTATTATGTTTTCAAACACACACTCAATCTTCTAACCAGAAAGTTCTTCCAGCAAATGATATTAGATCTTAGTTCGCCAATAAACTTTATCTATTTGTCTCATTCAATCTTGATTTCAGCTCAGTTGTTAGATGATAGATGACTTATATAATATCAAGTGAATGTAATGTATCCAGGACCGTAGCGAAAAGAAAAACCAGGGGGTATTTCCAAGTTTTCCCAATCTCATCAGCAATATTTCCCAACTTTCGAAAAAATGAAATCCGAGGGATTAGTTACTACTATAATATATTAATTTACATACTTAGCTATCCAAAGATTGGCTGAATGCTTATGCCCGTTAGGGTATGCACAAACAAAAATTAATTTTGGTAATTATAAAAATAATAATGGGAATTATTCNGCGAATTTGCATTCGCATCTGCTCTTCCACCAATGCCGAAAATGTATAAAAATAATATATTATATTAGGGCTTGAAGAGAAGAAAAGAAGAAAGGAAAAAAAGAAAAGAGGAGGTAATATATAGATATAGAAATATGTGAATGGCTAAAACCTTTTTCAGGATTCTCGCCGCGGACCTAGTTATTCTGAATGCTGAACGAATGATGTTTAAATATACTTTTAAACCCAGTTCCTGGTATGTTAAAACAATTGTTTTTCCATTTATGGAGATAATTTATTGTGGTGGAGATATTATAGGAAAAAGATCTTTTTAATATTTCCTTTTTATGTACATTTATGTTTAACACTATCTTTTTACGCAAAGTCAGGTTATGGACATCTGTTCTATAAGACAAATGTTCATATAAGTAGGGAGGATTCCTATATTTGATTATTTTAAAGAATATGCTTGTTGCATGAAAACGTCTACGATTAAACATAATTCAGCCATTTCAAATCTGCTAATTTGTGTGAAATTCTGGACCTTCTGATACCAAATAAGAACCTGATGCAAGAGTTTTGAACTTTTTGTATGCGACACCTGTCGTTCTTGTCTGAACATAAATGATAAACAGCTTCACAGTGGTTGAAATGAGATAAAACTAATGAATCACATAGCATTTTCTTGACATCTACATTCAAATATTGCCTATGGGGATATATATGTTTCAATGATGAATTAACAATTTTGAGTTTGTAGGTTACATGTTCATGAAATTTAGTTTATGATCTATGGTAAAATTGTTTATGGTAAAAACGCCTTCAGTAAGTTTGATATTATTTGAATTAGCTAAACTTTATCGAATCACAGTCAGTGACGTAGAAATGTGGATTACGCATCATTTAAGTTCGGAAAGGTGTTTTGATATTCGTCGTCCTCTGAACAAACTTTGAAATGAAAATCTGTTCGGAAAGTAGATGGAAGACGTATTCAAACTGCTAGTACATTTGTATTTTATCCGTAGAACAGCATAGGTAATAATGAAAAATAATTAAATCAGATGCTCAAAATGATAACCTTGACTTGCAATACAAGCATCAAGTCTTCTCATCGAGTGCCAAACCCGTTCAATTCCAGGGGTGTTACGAATGCCATTAAAATGAGGCATATTTCTCACGTTATTATATAGACAACTGTTGTCGCAGAAACAAGCGATTTAAGATCTCCCTCAAAGAAATAATCCAGAGGGTTTAAATCTGGAGATCTAGGTGGCCATGGTTGAGATCACCACGACCTATCCACTAGTGAAAACTGGAATGAGCAGGTGCATAAACCACATATTTCGTCTTACTAGCAAAGGTACATCCTCCAACAATTCTGGCAATGTGTCTTCTAAGAAATGTCTATATTTCACTCCATTCAGTCGAGGGGGAAGAAAATGCGGCTCTATCACCACACATTCCCGGCCAGACGTTCCATGGAAATTTGTGCTGAAATCCACTTTCTACAGTAGCATAGGAATCTCGTAGGCCCAACAATGATTGTTATGGTAGTTTATAACGGTGCCTCTTGAAAAACTTGCCTTGCATGTGATAAACCAAAACATCTCGCTGTAACAGTGCCTGTACCCGTTGCTTCTGGTATGGATACAATAAATTTGTATGCAAAACCTTCCAAACACTTCGATGACTGGCATTGAACTGTGCAGCTAATTTTCGGGTACTCATTGAAGAATTGCCGTCAACTACTTGAAGAATTGTTTCCTCCACTTTCGCGCATTTATAGTTAGTATACACACGCCTGAAGACGCTCTTGTATAGCGAAAAACGTGTTATGTTTTTGTAAAACTGTTTAGTGAAAATGAAAATGAAAACGAGCCACTCTGAATTACTTTTGGTACAATGATTTTCAGGAAATATAAAAAAATACCTCAACAATAGTATACAGGGGGACACATTTTGACATATTCACATTTGATGTAACTTTCTCTATGGTACCACCAGAGGTTCAATTGGTTCATTTATTTTGCATTATCAGATGTTTCATGATGAACAGATTCCAACAAAATCGAATACATTATGGTCTGAAGCTCATAGTTTGGAAGCTAAAAATTATTTGAGTTGAAAACGAGCCACCCTGAATGAACTTCTGTACAATCTGTTACCTAGGTTTCATAGATGTTTTTGTGAAGTAAACTTCAAAAATGTCTTATTTTGCCTAGTTTGATATTCTCTTCTTTTGTATTTGCCTCATTTTACAATGACGATTACCTACCAGGTGAAGTTACAATGGGGAATGTTCCTCCTGACGAAAATCAAATAGTTTTCATAAAAAAGTTCTAAAACAAGGCATTTTAAACTTATCATTTCAACCTTTTTCTTTAAAAAAATATTTAAATACTTAAAAAAGAGGAATGAAATAATGCTTTCAAAATTTAAAGGGATTCGTTTCTACTTCACCATTTGGCAACATCGGTTATAGCTAATAAAGGACAATGAATCTGTTACCTGTATGAGACAAACAAAGATGACATATTTCAGTTTTACTTATGTTCCGAGTTCCGAGACATTCTGTGACATATGACATTTTGTGCACCTAACCTGTCTTCCTCTATATAAATAAATAACAAAACAAATGGTGTTTATGTGGCTTGCGGAGGTGGTATTGAACTATAATTTATATTTTGCCTTAATTGTTGATTTATAAAGATAATTTTCCTTTTTTAAAGTAGAATATCTAGGTACGTATAAATTATTTCAATTTGATATAGGCGCTGTTGCCAATATGCGAATAAGAAACAAATCCCTTTAAATATTAAAACCCAAAATATGAAACATCAATTTGAATACTTTTCGAAGTGAATTTGAAAAACTCATGAATTAAACTCAACTTTATTTTGTTCAAACTTGCATTTGCTGTAATAACCCAAATTGATGAACATTCCCCATTGGTGTTTCTATTTTTGTGAATTCTTGAGAATCAACGGTTTATACGCTTCGAGAACGGATTGAAATAGTGAGTTTTTACTACCAGAATGGAAATAGTGCTAGAGCTGCTGCCTGTATGTTCAATGATAATTATCCAGGAAGAAATGTACGACACAAATACGTTTCGTGATTATTGAACAAATTTATGGAAACTGGATCTGTCAATAATAAAAAGCATAACCGTTCAGGAGTTATCAACGATTAAGCTATTTATACTGCAGTTTTAGGGGACGTTGGACTAATGGAAAATTCGCAATCTCGAGAATCAGGAATCAGTCGTACAATGTTTTTCAGAATCTTTCATAAGTACAAATTTAATTCATATCAGATCAGACTAGTTTACGAATTGAACGAAGATGATTTCGATAGACGTATCGAGTTTTGTGAATGTCTCACTGAACGAATCAACTTGCATAAGAATTTTTTGTATAAAATTTCTTTTTCGGATGAATGTACATTTAGTTTGAATGGAGAGGTGAATCGGCAAAATTGTCGACATTGGAGTGATACGAATCCTCGTTTATACCGTCACGTTCATACCCAACGACCTCAAAAACTGAATGATTGGGCATCAATAGGGCAATTGAGGAGGATATGAATTTATTCGAAAACGAAATAGTTTTTCAGCAGGATGATGGTGCACCTCTTCATTATGCAGCTCCAGTGCGACAATTTTTGGATGATCATTTTCCTGGTCGCTGGATTTGCAGAAGAGGTCCTACAGAATGGCCACCAAGGTCTCCGGATCTCACTCCTGTAGATTTCTTTCAATGGGGTCATTTGAAATCTAAAGTTTATGAGATAGAATCAACAACATTAGAAGATTTGAGAGAGCATATCATGAGGCATTGCAGATAAATAACTCCCGAGATTCTCAACCACGTGAAGGCGGCAATGGAAGCTCGTTTGTACCATTGTATGGAAGTTGGTGGAAACGTTTTTGAACATATACTATAGAATTTTTTTCCCACTGTCCAGTCATCAGATTTTGATTCAAGAATTAATAATAAAATCTCTTTTTCTGATTTATTGCTGCCATATCTGCCTCTAGAACGAATATTTCAAAATGTGACCTGTATAATTGTTGACCTGTTTTTTATTTTTCCTGCAAATCATTGTATTCGGGATGGAATCACAAACATCCATTATGGAGTTGAATCAGACATCATTCATAGAATCGCTACACAATATAATACAGGGTGTTCCAATGAAAACTTGACCCCCCTGTAAGTCAGAAACGGACGAGTAATCGAAAATTTCAAAGAACACGTCAACTTTTATTTCTAGGGGGACTAATTCTGATATGAAAATCATACCCGAAACTTCACCACGGTCAGCAACTACCCCCTTGTTTTTTCAATGGCATGGAGGGTCGAGGTCTTTTGTCCCTCTATTACTTCTGTAATTTTTTTCGGAAGTGGCTCATTCGTTATTGAGAAATTGAATGTTGAACGTTTCATTTGAGAAAAAACAGAAACTTCACTTCAATAAAAAGTAGATAGTTGGCCACTGTCACTTCTTCATGAATTATTATTCATTCATCCTTGTTCACTGTGTTCCAACATGGTTTATTCTACTGAAGAAGGAATAGAAATTGTTGCAACATATTATCGAAATAATGAATGTGCTAAAGCTGCTGCAAGAATTTATAATACGAATCATCCAGACCACAACGTGAGCCATCAATACTGTATTCAGTTAATGGATAAGTTTCGAACTTCAGGTTCTGTTCACAACCGAAAACATGAAGTATCCCGTTCTGTCAGAAGTTACGGAGTTGAAGTTGCAGTTTTAGGACATGTACAAATGGATAATCGACAATCTATCAGACAAGTAGCTAGAGCGTCTGGTGTATCAGCTTCTAGTGTTTTTCAGATTTTGAAAGCCTACAAATTCCATCCTTTCAAAGTAAGGCTAGTTCAGGAATTAAACGAAGATGATCCTGATCGTCGACTTCAGTTTCTTGTGATGTTCGTGTGAGACAGTTTTTGAAGGAACGTTTTCCAATCCGTTGTACCGGCAGAAGGGATCCAGTGGAGTGGCCAACTAGATCACCTGATCTCACACCGATAGACTTCTCTCTGTGGGGACACCTGAAGTCGAAAGTGTACTCTACTAAGCCTACAAATCTAGAAGACTTGCGACAGGGAATTGTTCAGGAATGTCGTTGGCTGATTCCGGACATCTTGAATAATGTACGGGACGCTTTCGAGAGTAGACTGTATTATTACATGGAACCAAGTGGAGGTCATTTTGAACAATTTATCCGTCGATTTTTTTCCACTGATATTATTTGTTGTTGATTTCCTCATTTCCTCAATAAAATGAACGACAGCGAAATTTCCGTTTTTTCTTAAATAAAACGTTTCCCAATAACGAATGAACCAGTTTCGAAAAAAATTACAGAGGTAATAGAGGGACAAAAGACCTTTCAAATGATGTATCACTCGACCCCCATGCCATTGAAAAAAATAGGGGGGTAGTTGCTGACTGCACTGGGGTGAAGATTCGAGTATGATTTTCATATCCGAATCAGTTCCCCTCGAAGTAATATTGTAATATACAGGGCGTTGGAACGCCCTGTATATTACAATAAGTGCTTTGTAACAACGGATTCTACATTTCTGGCATGCAAATTGCCACATATCCATAGAATCGTTGTGCCAATAAAGAGATATTAACTTCATTTGAACTCGATCAATTCCATTTCAGAGATCACCTATAGATTTCAGTCAGCAAGACCGGAAGTGAGACAGTTATTATTGCAATATCTGCTTCCGTGGTTGCATAATATGGAACTTGTTGATCCCAACATTCCTCCAATCAATATGCACATTTATCAGGTTTGTGATGGAAATATCCAAAACGAACTTTTCTATTGAAATGATTTTGATTCTTTCAGTTTTATGCCAGTGAAGTTGGGGCAGAACGAAAAGAAGGTTGGGGATCGGTGGAAGCCACTGAAATGGTTCTGAATAATATTTTCTATATCACTGCAAAGGTGAGTAGTACAAGATCATTTTACTTTAATTCAATTCAATTTCAAATCAATTAATTCATTCTGCCAAGAAAATAAATGCTTATTATAGGGGACTATCACTAAATGCGAAGTATTATAAAATAACATAAATAAGATATTTTACAATGAACACTTCTTCCTCTTGAAGATGATCATTTGGTGATCGAAACATGTGTCGAGGTGTTGAAATAACGCTTTGGTGTTGGGAAAAAAACTCCAGTAATATACATACCTAACCTATATGATACTTGAATTTTGTGATGGCATAGTGCTCCATTATTTTCTCTGGAATTGAATTATGTATAATGATCATATCATGAAATATCTACTTTTTTCAAAATTTTTTTGTATTTCAATTTTTGACAGTAATTTGGTTTGTCTTTGACAGTAGTTTGGTTTGTCTTGTGGCATGATTATGAATATGTCCAATTTGATTAAAATTCAAGTTTGATTTCTTTGTATTCTGTTTAACCGAATACAAGAAATACCAAGAAATAATTTTCACCTGTGCTTGAATTATTTCGAGGTCACGAAAATGTTTTCATAAAATATTCATAAGAAAAATTTTCCAAGGATGCTTTGGTAAAAAAAGTTCACAACATATTGAATTTCAACAAATTGTTTAGCCTCTCAAAGTAAGGAAAAACCCAAGGACTTCTTGAATGATTTTTTGGATGTAGGCAGCGGGATTTTTGGTCTTTCATTTGCAGGATGTTGAAAATTCCGAAATAATACAGTGAAAGATATTTTTTGCTGATTGAAATGAGTTTTTTTTATGCAAAACATCTTGCTTTTTGAATTTTTTTATTTAATTTTTATTTTTGGTTGATAATATATTCATTTATAATCTGGAATATTCAATTAGGCTATAACAATAAAGAATGTTGGTCTAAGAAATAGATAATCATACTTTTAATGAGAACTTTGAGAAGAAAAATACAATTCAAGAAAAANGGAAATGAATTTTAGGGGTTGCGTTTTCCTTAACTGTATCTTAACAATGGACGCTCCAATGAAATTTCTTTATATGAAAGATCCTATCTTTTTTTCGATGAGGAATCACCTCCTTAAATGTTTTACACTTATTTAGTTACACCCTGTATTAGGACTTGAAGGGAAGAAAGGAAAAAAAAAAGAAAAGAAAAGGTAATATATAGATATAGAAATATATGAATAGCTAACACCTTTTTCAGGATTCTTACCGCGAACCTAATAATTCTGAATGCTGAACAGATGCTGTTTGAACATACTTTTAAAAAAACACTTGCAATACCATAAAGTCTTCTCCTCATCGAGTGCCAAACACGTTCAAATATTCTAGAGGTGTTGCGAATGACATTGAAATGAGGTATAATTCTATTTCTCATGTAATTATATCGACAAATGTTGTCGCAGAAACAAACGAATTAAGATATCCCTAAAAGAAATAATCTAGAGGGTTCAAGCCTGGATATATAGAAGGCCATGGTTATGGTATTTTATGAAAGCATCCCTTCAAAAACTTTCCTTGTTTGTGATAAAATTAAACAAGTGAAATTGTGATTTTGTACAATTTTTGAAGGAACCACTTACAAAAATCGAATCGTCTAGGAAAATCTCGCTGTAACAGTGCCTGTACCCATTGCTTCTGGTATGGATACAATAAATTTGTATGCAAAACATTCCAAACAATTCAATGAATGAAATTGAACTGTGCAGCTCGTTTTCGGTTACTTATTGAAGAGTTGCCGTCAACTTCTTGAAAAATGGCTTTCTCTAATTATGCCGTTTCATTGTCGTCGTCGGTCTCAGCCTGTTTTGTTGAAGATCCACTTTCGCGCGTTTAAAATTAGGTATTTGTACCATTTTTATAGTTAGTATGTATACGCCTGAAGACGCTTTTGTATAGCGAAACACGTGTTATGTTATCTTGAAACTGTTTAGTGAAAATCTCACATTGAAGTGTTTCTTATCAAGTGCCAATAGCAAAATGTGGACAGATTTTCAATATATCTGCGAATAAAGAAGATATAGGCAAAAAAATAATTTGGGTTTTTTTATTTTTCCTGTATATCTCCAGAACCAAAAGGGCTATATTCGATTTCTTTACATCATTGAATAGGTCTCTAAAATACACAACTTTGCCACAATTCAACACACTCTATCTCTTATCGTTTACGAGATCCCCATGTACAGAAACGAATTTGAATAGCCCTGTGTATCCGTCAACACAGAATATGTTTATGTTGTGACAGGTTTGAACTCCTATAATTAGAATTGTTTTAATTATTTTTTGTCAGTAGATTGTATGAAAAGTTTTGTCCGTTTCGAAGAGTCTTCTTTAAACTGCAATATCTCATTCAATACTTATTCAATTCAATCGAAATAAGCGCCATTTGAACCAGTGCATTTTTTCCAACGTGACACAAGTCGATTATTCGCGTCAGCACAATAATTTCGTGCTCGGGATTCGATGTAGTCGACGAAGGTCCAGAATTGGGGAAAGTTCTACCAGTGAGAAAGTTATCGAAGTGCTTGAAAAGATTGTAGTCGGTTGGCTAGAGGTCTGGGAAGTAAGGTGGGTGAGGCAAAATTTCGACGCTCAATTTGTTTACGATTCGGACGGTAATTTGTGAGCAGAATCGGACTTCTTCTGTTGACAGGTGCAGGCTACTGTCAATGTGAATCGTTACTTTCCCACAGGCACCGCTCTGAGAGTGCCTTAAGGATTTTCCTGTAATGCTTGTGTTTTGTCCTTGAAAAAAGTATTTATTGAGGTATGACGCTACAAAAATACATGAAAATAAAATGGACAACATTTTTTAATAGCCAAGTAATTTGAGCTTCATATTTTTTATGTTCCACCAAATAGGTCTATAAAATAGTAGGCTATGAAATAATAGTTTGACATTGTCAGCCAAAAACGTCAAAGATAATTATACTGTTGTTTGTAAGTTGTTTTCCGAAAAATGAATCGTTTAACAAAACACATCACATTTGTGGATATGTCGGATATTGAAGTGTACCATCGTACTTCGTGTTTTTGGGGAAACTCATTTTTAATAGCGGCAATTATTTAAAAGAAGAAATTTTGTTTTGCACTGTATAGCAATAATATCTAAAGTGATCTACGAAATACAAACAATTGAGTTGGCAAAAATTGAACAACACAATGTATGAATATAATGTATTTATTTTATTAGACACGGATATTTAGTAAAAAATATAGTATATCGTACTCCGGGCTAGTCGCCAATAATAAGAAAATAAATAGTCGAAAAATTCCAGAAACATCTTAAAAATGTAACTGAAACCTATTGTACTTTTTTGCATAAAAAATAAATACCTACCTGACTTTCTTTATTCCCTATCAAATATATTCTGGATGAGTGACATAATGATCTCTGGTCATGAAAAAAAATTCCATTACACTTCGCGCTAGGTTACCCCTGCGGCAAGACATTTTTGATAAACGTCTGTGTTGCTATGGCCNCATCACATTTGAGTATATGTCGGATATTGAAGTGTACCATCGTACTTCGTGTTTTTGGGGAAACTCATTTTTAATAGCGGCAATTATTTAAAAGAAGAAATTTTGTTTTGCACTGTATAGCAATAATATCTAAAGTGATCTACGAAATACAAACAATTGAGTTGGCAAAAATTGAACAACACAATGTATGAATATAATGTATTTATTTTATTAGACACGGATATTTAGTAAAAAATATAGTATATCGTACTCCGGGCTAGTCGCCAATAATAAGAAAATAAATAGTCGAAAAATTCCAGAAACATCTTAAAAATGTAACTGAAACCTATTGTACTTTTTTGCATAAAAAATAAATACCTACCTGACTTTCTTTATTCCCTATCAAATATATTCTGGATGAGTGACATAATGATCTCTGGTCATGAAAAAAAATTCCATTACACTTCGCGCTAGGTTACCCCTGCGGCAAGACATTTTTGATAAACGTCTGTGTTGCTATGGCCAAAAACTGTTGGTGCTCCTCGAGCATTATATAACTCACCATGTTTGGTATTGTTTCATTCACTCAGACAAGTATTTTTTGTCTCTTTTTATAGTTTGGGGACAATCATCCGAAAGAAATCGAAGAAATATGGTCTACCCTGTGTACCACCTGGCCAAATAATATGAAAGTTATCATAAGGTATCTCATAATAGTATCTGGAATGGCACCTTGCGAACTTTTGCCTTACGTAAGTCAAAAAATTCCATCAATACATCGACGTTAACTAACAGAAATATGCTTTCAGGCCAAAAGAGTTGTTCTTTACTTGGCCCGAGTTCAGTCGGTTAGACTGTTGGACGAAATGATGGTTGAGTTACAGACAGTTGAAACCTTGAACTGTCTCATAGAAAGAACGGAAACTCCGCCATTTTATCGTTTGACAGTGATGAGGAAGACTTCCAGCCATTCGGATGGAACCAATGGTGTATCAGGGCAAGCAGATTCTAATAGTAGAAATGACTTGAGTAAGCGTCTGTTATGAACTGGAAAACTTTAATGCTGATGATAACTTTCAGATATAGAAAAAGGCACCATACATACTAAAAGACATAGTGGCGAGGATCCCTGTAAATCCTCAATAGTCAAATCGGAATCAGCTTCCAATGTGTTTTCTGAATTCGCAATGTCAAGGCCCGAAAAAACAAGAAATCAGGATGAGATGACTAGTTCTTTAGAAGAGGTAATACACTGAACACTTGATGAGATATGTTTGAATATCTGAAGGTTAGTTATTACTACGTCTCATCATAAATTTTGTACTGTAGGTGGCAATTGAAGAAGATGTGATTCTTCGTGACAAATTGGATATACCTCAGCCCCATCCACTGCCAATGCCTGAATTTGGGGGATACTTTGCCCCATTGACAGAATATTTACCTGATAGTTCTCAACCAATATCAGGATTTCATAGGTAAGATTAAAACAACAATATACTTATATCGTTCTTCTATGGTATACTCTACGATAAGTCTTTCTAGAAGGCTGTATATATTGTTACGTTTTCCCCGTATGTTCGACAATAATTGATCACACTGTACAATTAAACTCAACTTTATTCTACTATGACACTACTAAACTATCAGTGCAACACAAAATCTCCAACTAAACTCAAGAACAATGCTCAAATCTCTATCGCCTCATCAGCTCAATTCGCACGGCACTTTCCGAACTAGACTAACCTCTCCTACGTCGTGGTAATGCTTATATAAGTCGATGGAAATCTTTGGATGCCGTTGGAACATTTCTCGAGCAGACACGGCGTTCCAGAATTTTTGAGAGAGATACAAGTGAGGCTGAGCACGACCTTGACCAAGTCGCAGTCGATCGGAGAAGACGAGCATTGGTTGGCGTTATTTTTTTTCAGGGGATGATTTAAAACGATACATTGAAGAAGGGGGTTACAAAAATGTAACGAAGAGTTCTTTTTCTTGTAGTAAAATAAGTAAAAATGTTAAATGTAACAGATATTGAGAGCAATGAATATTGATAATCACTCGTTCCGAACACAATTTTAGTTTATTTTCCAAAGGGGTCTAGTGGTTGAATGATGGTTTGTGATAATTCAATTGAAACACTTCTTACACACGTCAGAAGTGCAACACTCTTCTTGACGGGATTTCGCCAACCAACTTGGCGTTTTAAGGATATGAATTATACTGAACTAAACTTGTAACAGTGTTAAACTTTCATTATTTCTTGCAAATACCGATTTTTCCTGTTCTACAATTTTTTTCTGTTTCGAACAATTTCTTCTTCTATATTATACTTTTTCAAGCAAATATTTTTATAGCTATTGAAGGCACAATAGAAGACTGATACAATAGGAAAAAATTGCTTACTGTGACAGTGCTAATCAAACGATAAACTGCTGACCTGAACAATTGAATGTGAAATATAGGTTATGTTTATTGTTTCGGGATTTGTTGTGTTTTGAGTTGTTCAGTTGAGAAATTGTGGGAGTAATGTTTTTTGTTACGATTATTATATACATAAGAAACTGATGATTAGGTAAAATTAATTACTTTTGCCAACAGGAAGCACAGAAAACCACAACAATTTGTGAAGGCAACTAACAGGACTTTGCTTTTGTTTTTCTGTTCCACTTAATTCTAATATTTCCGATAGATGTCGTATCTGGACGATGAACTCTATGGTAATGGCCAAACCGAAATTAAACTAAATTGTTGCAGACTGTTGTTTGAATCATTTTTGAGCGGCAATGACTTCATACAAAACCATTTTTATAGTTAAATTTCATGTTTCTAATATCTGATACTCTTGAAAACATGAAACTTCAAAAATAACATTGTATATTTTGTATATACAAATCCCAAAATATGAAAAACTCTTCATGAAATTTTAGATTCAAAATTATATTGTTTTAAAAGTAGTTCAAATCTATCATTCTAATCAATATCAAATTACACTATTGGGAATCCTATTTTCAAAGTAACGGTGTAGTTACTCCAAATATATTCACCATGTCAATTAATCAAAATGTCTTTTGCTTTGTGCAAGTAGGTCTTATTTCTTCTCTATTTTCTGCCGAATAAAGCAATGTATCAACAGTCAGTATATAATTATGGTAGTCAAACTCAACTAGAAGATTTTTATACTTTTTTTGAAAGGTAATCTTTTCATTTTCAATTATATAAACAAATAATGAATCTAACGAGCTTTTTTATATTAGATGAGAGTTGAGAGTTATTTTATATCTTGAATTGTCCAAAATTTTATGTCACAAATATTTCTCTAAAAAAAGTCCAATGTGTGTAATTGAAAAAACTATATATTTCATTTGAGGAAAAGGCACTAGACAGTGTTTCACAATACTAATATTTATTTTGAGAATTCAATTTACAAATTAAAATTCTCTTTCAGGTGTAATGTTGGAGTGATGTTGTTGTGTGACATTGTCGTTGATGGAATCGAATTGGACTGGACGATACATGTTCCGTTGATGTTGCATATCTCGTTTTTGGGACTAGATCACAATCGACCTCTAGTATACCAACACTGTAAACAGTTACTGCTCAATTTACTGATTGTGCTCGCACATCATAATGATCATTTGACAGTGGCTCATATTTTACTAAACAGCAAGACAAAACAGTTGGAGTTGGGTTTGACAACGCCTACGCTATCAACTGTCGTGGAACATGCATTCACAGGTTTGTACAGAACAAGATAAATAATCTTTTGAATTCCTGTGAAATATTTTGTAAGAGACGCGCGACCTACAACATTTTTGGAAAGGGATTTGATGAAGTAGAAGTAATGTCACATTCTTGTCCCATATGGCTCCAAACCCTCACTAAAGTACGCATTTTTTTTATTTGTGACTTGACATTCGGAAGATTTTTCAAAATTTGTTTTTATCGACTCAGATTTCATGGTTAAATTCTGAAATTCTGAAAAGTGGACGATGGACAATCCCTAAAACATACATGGCAGAAACACTTGGTATATCGACTGGTGGAAAACTGAACATGGGACACAAGCTGGAATATACTGTATGGGCAGAAATTTTCGTGACAGTAACCATCTAAGTCAATGCATGTCCATATTTCAAGCGGAAGTGTATATAGTGAAAATGTATTGAGAATTTTACATTTTATACATTTTTGCAGGTCATTTTTTTCCAAATTTTAATTTTGTTGTCTCCTTTCACTCTCCTTCATGTCAATAAGTCATTTTCGAACAATTTTTCTCTACAAATTAAAATTGAACCAAAACGCTGCCTAAACAGCCTGAAAAATCAACCAGACATTTGGCAATAATAGTGTTAATGACGTGTTCGTCGCTGATTTGCGAAATTTAGTTTCCGAGATTTTAGCATCAAAGATGAGCCCCGAATTAGTCGACTTATAGTAATCCAAGACGAGGACTTGAGGATCCTGGTGGAGACTGACCCATCACAAACGGCGTGTGGGATGGCGAAATAACTGGGCGTCAGCTCCCATGGGGTTTTTCAAAACTTATTGGAAAGGTCAAGAAGCTCTCAAATCGTGAGGAAATCGATGAAATTTACTGAAAATTGCGTTGGCGGCAACAGAAGAGATTCGATTCTGCTCTACGACAACTCGCGTCCACATGTTTCACAAATCACCGCCCGAAAATTGAACGAATTGAGTGTCGAAGTTCTGCTTCACCCACCATTCTTCCCAGACCTCACGTCAACCGACTACCATCTTTCCATGCACTACGATAACTTTCCCACCAGCAGAACTTTCGTCAATCAGGACCAGGCCAAAACAACCTTCGTGTGCTTCATCAAATCTTAAACATGTCATGAAGAATTGAATAAACTGGTAAACAGGAATAAGCCAACTCTTTACTGTCTTTACTGAATGACAGGACATTAAACAACCACAGACAAAAATAAAACTGCTAAGTATGCCGCACATGGATCATCAGCTCAATATATTGGCCCTGAATCAGAGCTGTAGGAATACCAAATCAATAATTCAGGACCAGATGAGAAAATGGGTCATGAAAAAACATGAAGATTATTGTGAAAATAAACGTGAGCACTTCCACAGAAAAATTGTTCAACAGAAACCATCTGAAAAAAGTACTGAAGAATTGCTTCAACATAGCAGGGTACATCTCAGAATGATTGACAGGGTTACTCACTAGACATTGTCCTTTCAACGGACATTTGAACAGACACTTTACGAGGTCCGGCTATTGAATAACGAGACTGGTTACGAAAAAGGCTTTTATTGCAAAAATTAATCTACATTCTAATGCTCCCCTTCAATATACTCCCCTCTCCTCGCTACACACCTTTCCATACGCTTTTTTCATTGATCGAAGCAGTGCTGGAAGTCTTCTCTTTGGTGAGGGCTTTTAGGAGCTCTACCGTTTTTTGCTTTACCGCTTCCGTCGACTCAAATCGAGTCCCCTTCAAAGCAGATTTTATCTTCGGGAGCAAAAAAAGTCGCACGGTGCCAAATCTGGTGAGTACGGCGCGTGTTCGAGCACTGGAGTGCGTTTATCGGTCAAATATCGCTTCACAGATAGCGCGTTGTGGGCAGATACGTTGACCTGGTGTAAAATCCACGAGTTGTTCTTCCATAACTCGGGCCGTTTCTTACGAACTCGTAAACTGACAAATAATAAGTCTGGTTGACAGTCTGACCCTCTGGAACCCATTCAGTCATCACGATACCATTAACGTCATAATGCCTTGAATTTTGATCAACAATGCCTTGAATTTTGATTTGGACATCCTTGCTTTTGTGATTCTGGGCGATTCAGGCGTCTCCAATGTATCGATTGCCGCTTTGTTTCAACATCGTATTGAAAATTCCACGTTTCGTCACAAGTAATACTGTTTTTCATCAGTCCGGGATCTTCTTCTGACCTTTCAAGGAAATCTAAGCAGATCTGTTGACGCAAGAGCTTTTGGTCGGGAGTAAGGTTTTTTTGGTACAAACTTCTCACGGACTTTTGTTGTGTGTAATTCCGAGTGTAAAATTTCACTAACCGTTTCTTAATCGGCGTTTACAGCCTTGGCAATCATCCGGATGCTCATTCGACGATCTGCACCTACAATTTGGTTGATGTTGGTCACTGTTTCCGGAGTTGAAACAGTGATAGAACGACCTGGGCGCTGGTCATCTTCAGTGCTGTCTCGGCCCTCACTGAAGCGCTTACACCACTCAAAAACACGCGCACGAGATATGGAATTGTCTCCATAGGCCTCTTACAACAATTTATAGCACTCATTCGTCGGGGTTTTTCCAATCTAACGAGAAATTTGAGATTGATACTTTGCAATGGATGTCGTGAAAAGATGGAAGGAAAGAGCAATGAGCTCATATGGCCGCAGTGTTTTCCAGAGGCTTGGAAAAAACGGATAAGTCGGTCTGCTGCCAAGTAGCAAAACAAAACAGTGAAAATCATGTTCATAAGTTACAACATTGGGTAGAACATACATATACAATAAATACTATACTAAGATGGCCAAGAGTAAGAGAGTACGGTTATAATTCCCAATCAGTGACACAAAAATATTCAAACCAGCACTTAATTTGTTGTAGACACTTTGCATCCTCGCAGAGCCGGATTAACCCTGTATGGGCCTGTAGGCAATACAATTTTCGGGTCCCTTTTCTTTACCTACTCTGACTGACTAAATCATGTGATGTTTTTTTTGCTTTCTACCCACGTTCCTGAATACAATTCCCGATATAGGCATGGATGACGTCCTAAGGGCGAGTTCAGACATACGCAGGGTCTATGCGTGCTCAACGCGGGTTGGCTGCGTGTTAGTACAGTCACCCGCGCAGCCCACGCGTAGAGTACGCCTACGTTTGATTCCGCCCAAAGTTTAGGTGTTTTCTATGTATACATGAAAAATTAAACGCGACTCAGTTATTTTTAATTTAAAATATATATTTAACCAAACGCAATAAACTAAAGAAAAAGTGAAGTAATTTCAGTACCTTCTGTTAATTTAAATATGGACTTTTCTAACTTTTTCAGATATAAAATCTTTCACGACTTCTTCAATGTGGACCTTTTCCAATACATCATTTTCAATTGCCATTGTCGACAATGAATTTAAGCGATGTTGAGACATTGTTGCTCGAAGAGAATTTTTTAATAATTTCAATTTTGAAAAATTTCGTTCTCCTGTGGCGTTTGTTATCATCAAACTTCTATAAATTTGCAATGCTATCATAACATTTGGGAAAGTTGATTGAACCATATTATTAAGGATCAATTTATAGGATTCTTCAGCAGCTACAATGTTATCTTTCCCGGCATCCTCCAATTGTAAGACGAAGTACTTGAACTGCAACATCTCGTTTATAATTCATGCTCAATGTCCTCGGAATAATGCTCACAAAATTTTTTACGAGCCTCTTTGATTTGATCGTCCGAACCTAGAATTTCGTCATTTCCACGAACCAATATTCTTTTTCTTTGTTGTATGCAATTTCCATAGAAGTGTCAGTTCGGCCTTGACAACGCCGTCTACTAATCAGGGTCTGTACACATTCTCGGTGCGTTCCTGTATTCTCATGGGATTGAATTCTATGAGATGCGTTTTTCCAATCAGAAAATCCTGTTTGAAACTGTGATTGGTTTTCGACGCCACCAAAGAGAACACATGGTAAACAGTATACTTTTCCAGTCGATGAAGAATATATGAGCCACTCTCGTTTCATTTTATCACCACTTATATGTTTGAGAGAAAACATTGACTGAGAAAAAAATCTTTTGCTATCTTCGTATTGACGGCTTGAAGCAGAAAAATCACAGTCAAAGTGTTGACATTCGTTAAAATCTCTGATACACCAATAATCTTGTATTTCTTTGGTAATATTTTGCCACAAGCCAATGTCTTTCTGGTATTCTACAACTTGATAGGCTTCGTTTTGTTGTGGTGATTGGACGTCGTTCTCAGCCTCACTTGCCTTGGCACCTGCTAACGTAGCTTGTTTCTTGATACTGGTTAGCCTGTTCAGAACACTCGCTAAGAATATCTCCTGAGTCGGCCTCCGAACTCCCGGTTTGATCAGCAGCAGACGTACTCGGAAAAGGTTGATTTTCGAGTGGTTGACGAACAAATCCAAGTTAGAAAAGGTTTTGCGTCTTCTTTAATACCTCATCACGCTTATTTTGTTGGTATAGCCGCTTTTTACGTTTTTCTGCACCGCTCAAATGCTTTTTTTTTCACGGGCTAATCGGACATTTTGTTCCTTGAAAGAAAGGTGTAAATGAAAAACTACGACAAAGAAATGGTTAAATTTTCAAAAAAATAAAGATCTTCGTACCTATTATTGGTCAAATTATAATGTCACAAATAATTATTGAACTTACCTTATTTAATTCTGTTTTATAATTAAGATTTATTCAAGACAGTATTCATAAAAAAAACTAATACTCTACTCCTATTCAGAATAAACACAAAGCATAAAGTGTTTTTCAATTCACTGTCGTTAAACGCTCCTGATAGCATCCTATGAATCGGGGATTTCCTCAACGTAAAATGACATTAACAGTTCGCCTATTCACTGCGTTCCGAATTTTTTAAATACTTTTGGTGTATGTGAAAATCGTAAGTCTTCAAACACGGAGCACTCTAAAACTTTTTTAAATTTACCTTACAATCACAAAACTCACATATTGTAATTAACGTATTTCGAAAATTTTGGAATTATCATGCTACAGAAGCTTACAGAACGCACTCAACGAATCGGGGATTCCCCCAACGTGAATGAAGTCCAGTTGCGTTCCGAAGGATTATATTAGTTCTAATATTAGATACTAGATGGTTCTGTATGTATAAAGTGTTACATGTGTTGAAAAAAAAAGAATAGTATTGTTGATTATCATTTTCGATCCATAAAACTTTTTTTTGCGGGCTGCAGTGGGCCCCTGTCGATCCTGGGCCCCTAGGCAGTTGCCTACTCTGCCTTAAGGTTAATCCGGCTCTGCATCCTCGTAACTATTTTGAGCATAGTTAGTGATATGCAATTCTGTACTGAAAGGCCCGAAATGCCCTCTTCTAAAAAATGTGTTGAGGCCAATAGAGTAAGTAGTTGTGACTGAATCAATCCATTCCATAATTATATCAGATCATTGTCACATCTAATATAAGAATGTAGGCTTTCACAGCTGTATCAATGTTTTGGTTGGTTTCCGAGTTTTTCCGTTGTCTTCTTTTGGTATAATCTCCAAATGTTTCAACTGCAACTGCGGCAGTCATCTTCTTGTAGTGTCAGCTTGACACGTCAAGAAGAGTACTTCGACCACGTCACTGAAGGTGACTGCCGCAGTTGTAGTTGAAACGTTTGGAGATTATAACCGAAGAAGACCACGGCAAAACCCGGAAACTAAGCAAAGCATTGATACGTCTACGGGTTTCTAGGAAATATAAAAACAGGTCTCTGGTTAATCTGATGGCAACATTTTCAATTTTTCGATACTAATAAACCTTATGTTTATTGAATTTGTTCTTTTTGCCAAAAGTCTCTCCATGATTTTTGACTGGCTCTTCGTCACCTTATAGTACGTTGTGTTAAACCTTAACAAAGTAAATAAAAGTTACGTACACTGTCCCCCTTCAGGAACTTGCGGTGTAACATAAAAGGTTTTATTAAACTTATTATTTCAGAGTCAGATCCAGCGATCAACGAATTTTTACAAAATCAAATTGCACCCAGTGGAGCAGCTGACAATAGTGCAAAAGTAAATGTACCATCAGTCCAAGCACCTAAATCCGAGGAACCAGGTGAGTGTACCAAGAGTTCGGAAATTCAGCGCGCTGTGTGTCAGATATTGCCAAATTTTCTCATCAGAAATTATTTCAGAAGAAGAAAGAGATGCTGCGATACCACAAGTAGTCGTCATTCCAGACAACATAGAACCCGTACCGGCAACTAAAATAGAACTGACTGTTTCGGTAATTGTGAAATCGTTGATACAATTTCTTGCGACACGCCAAAACGCGCCGTTATGGAACTACGAAGACATCACAGCAAAAGTGTGGACGATTCGAAGTTTCGAACAAATTGACATGTTCATGCAATACATTTTGAAAGTTTTCAGAGAATCTCTACCTAACGCCCACATCAATGAACGGTGGGCCCAAACCGCTTTGCAGTTGGGGCTGAGTTGCTCGTCTAGACATTATGCAGGCAGGTCGTTGCAGATTTATAGATCTCTGAGGGTTCCTATCACGTCAAGAATGCTGTCAGATATTCTGAGTCGACTAGTCGAAACAGTCGCTGAACAGGGAGAGGATATGCAAGGTGAGGAATAGATACCTGTATTCTAATTAATCTGATTTTCTTCGTATACAGTGTGTACAAGCCAAATGAAATAAATTTATTATTTCGGTTACGGTACATATTTTAATAATATCCCGAATCACGTCAAATTTAAATTATAATTCGACATATTTCAACGGAAAAATGCTACCCCTACCTTCAACCCCTGTCGAATGACAGGTACAACCCCCATTTTTTCAAATAGGCTTGTGATATATCATTTGAGAGGTCTCTTTATTCTCTATTCTAAAATGTTATTGCTTTCAAGTTTATTGCAACAATCAAGATAAAATAAATTAAAATCATGTGGTTACCGAAATTCGATAAAATACACTCAAAACTTATTGCAATATACTCAAAACTTATTTCATGTTGAGGTATTGATAATAGGAAACCAAGCGAAAACCATAGCAATGGTTTTTTAAGATGGTATCCATTAAAAAATTGTAAATGATTTTCGTGGCAACGTTACTTTAAAATGTCTTGTCAACTTGTTTTGTATGTTACAACATTAGTTGTCAGTATTGTAATTTAAGTTTAAAGTTCGTTAACTTCAAGTCTGACAAATGGTTAGATGAATGGAAATGCGTAAAATAACAGTTTTACAAATGATTGATAAAACCCAAACACAACAGGAAGTAGCTCGCCTATTTCATGAGAAATTTCCTAATTTACCGCCCGTATCTCAAGGAACAGTAAGCAAAATAGAGAAGCAGTTTCGCGAGCTTGGTCATGTGAGGTCATATAATTCGAACATAGTTCGAATTATATCAAGGATGTTACTTACGTACATCGCCCTCTGTCCGCGGATATATCAAGCAATAATGTCTCTAATTCTGTCAAATAGAAATCTCGATATGAAATGAAAAGGAGAGTTACAAACAAACATACATATAGGTGAAGCTAATATAAAGCGTGTAATGTAAAAAAAAATGGTTGCAATCTGTTAATGATAAGTGATGGGTCACATATAGTCTTTCACCTACTCAAATGTATATGAAATTGTTGAAGATTTGAGTTCTGAAATTCAACATTTTTTCAGGCTACGTAACAGAATTATTATTAACTCTCGAAGCAGCAGTAGAGTCACTAGAATCTGACTTCCGGCCATTGGATTTCATGAAGGACTTCTTCAAATCTACCCCTAATCTCAACAACAAGGAAGCTACTCCCCTGAAACGCAATGCCGAAGGAACTCCAGCGAACGTAGTTGGTGCCCCTTTCTACAACTACTCGTCTATAATTGGCCACGCTCGAAGTACCAGTTACTCGGTAAGCTATGGTTTAAGAAAGAGTACACAGTCGTCGAGCGAAGTGAAAGACCGCAACAGACATACCGGTGAAATCGACCCTCGAACCGGGTTGAATAAATTCTCTCCGAATCTCTCAAGATCGAGATCGGCACAGAGTTTGAAGATGTTGGGAGACTCCGCCACTCAAGATGACAAGTTGACGATATTGGCGCAACTGTTTTGGTTGGCTGTTTCTCTTCTGGAGTCCGATTACGAACACGAATTCTTGCTAGCTGTGAGATTGTTGGCTAGTGTTATGCATAGGCTTCCTCTTGATAGACCGGACGCCAGNAGATATGGAATACTTTCGCACTAATTACTTTCACATTTTCAACTGACTTGCTTTCTTCCTTCCTTATAAAATTTTCTACACATTTTTGTATGAAGATGGAAGAGGGAAGGTCGATTTTTATCCAAATACTATTCTTCACTGGCTTTGATGAATGTTTATAAACCCGATGATTATCCTGTGGATGAATTTGCAATCAACAAAGTCAGAAAAGTGATCTTTTTTATGCAATAAATATTTGATGGTGTGCCTGATATTTCGATTGTCTGCAGATTTCGAAGAACATTAAATATACAGTCAGTAGAAGTCAAATGGAATAAATTGATTTCGTCAAATTCAAATTATAATTCGAAATATTTCAACGGAAAAATGCTACCCCTACCTTCAACCCCCGGCGAATGACAGGTACAACCCCAATTTTTTTTAAATAGGCTTGTGATGTATCATTTGAAAGGTCTCTTTATTCTCTATTCTAAAATGTTATTGCCATCAAGTTTATTGCAACAATCAAGATAAAATAAAATAAAATCATGTGGTTACCGAAATTCGATAAAATACACTCAAAACTTATTGCGATATACTCGAAACTTATTTCATGTTGAGGTATTGATAATAGGAAACCAAGCGAAAACCATAGCAATGTTTTTTTAAGATGGTATCCTTTAAAAAATTGTAAATGATTTCCTTGGCAACGTTACTTTAAAACGCCTTGTCAACTTGTTTTGTATGTTACAACATTAGTTGTCAGTATTTTAATTCAAGTTTAAAGTTCGTTAACTTCAAGTCTGACAAATGGATAGAATAATGGAAATGCGTGAAATAACAGTTTTACAAATGATTGATTATGGAGATAAAACCCGAACACAACAGGAAGTAGCTCGCCTATTTCATAAAAGATTTCCTAATTTACCGCCCGTATCTCAAGGAACAATAAGCAAAATAGAGAAGCAGTTTCGCGAGCTTGGTCATAGTTCGAATTATATCAAGGAGGTTATGTTCAGCGCCATCTGCCCGCGAATAGATCAAGCAATAATGTCGATAATTGTGTCAAATACAGATCCCGATATGAAATGAAAAGGAGAGTTACAAACAAACATACATATAGGTGAAGCTAATATAAAGCGTGTAATGTAAAAAAAAATGGTTGCAATCTGTTAATGATAAGTGATGGGTCACATATAGTCTTTCACCTACTCAAATGTATATGAAATTGTTAAAGATTCGAGTTCTGAAATTCAACATTTTTTCAGGCTACGTAACAGAATTATTATTAACTCTCGAAGCAGCAGTAGAGTCACTAGAATCTGACTTCCGGCCATTGGATTTCATGAAGGACTTCTTCAAATCTACCCCTAATCTCAACAACAAGGAAGCTACTCCCCTGAAACGCAATGCCGAAGGAACTCCAGCGAACGTAGTTGGTGCCCCTTTCTACAACTACTCGTCTATAATTGGCCACGCTCGAAGTACCAGTTACTCAGTAAGCTACGGCTTAAGAAAGAGTACACAGTCGTCGAGCGAAGTGAAAGACCGCAACAGACATACCGGTGAAATCGACCCTCGAACCGGGTTGAACAAATTCTCTCCGAATCTCTCAAGATCGAGATCTGCACAGAGTTTGAAGATGTTGGGAGACTCCGCCACTCAAGATGACAAGTTGACGATATTGGCGCAACTGTTTTGGTTGGCTGTTTCTCTTCTGGAGTCCGATTACGAACACGAATTCTTGCTAGCTGTGAGATTGTTGGCTAGTGTTATGCATAGGCTTCCTCTTGATAGACCGGACGCCAGGGATAAGGTCGAGAAACTTCAGCTTCAACTGAGGTGGAACTCTTTTCCAGGAGTTCACGCATTGTTATTGAAGGTAACATTTCAGCTTCATTAAATTTTGTTCTTTAGCTCATCTTAAACACCTCACTGATAGTTAAGCTAAGAAATAAATGAATCTATGTTGGATAAATGCTGAGAAATCAAATAATTTATGGATTTTGGTCGAACATTGAGTTCTTCACACAAAATTTTATTGTTGGTTGATAGAAACATAATAACATTCACCTATCACTCTTGGTCGCATAGAGCAAGTTGCAGTAAAATCACTTTTTCATCTCAGTATAGAGGTCAGGTAAAAATCTATTATCATTTCTTGAAAATTCCGCGAAATGAATCAACTCACGCCTACTCACGCCACATCGTGAATTCATCTCATTTCATCGAGAAAATAAGTACCCTGGACCTGCAGCCGAATGAAATTTTGGTTAGTTTCGATGTCGTTTTTCTATTCACCATGGTACTAGTGAAGGAGATGTTGGAGCAGATCCAACAAATTATCTCAGAGGACATCCCAGCTCATCACTACATATTTCCAATGGAATATCTGTTTCTATGAAGCAGTATCGGAACACGCGTTTAATGAAGAAGATCATACGATACTGTTTGAAGATGTGAAACTAATTGCACCCGATCATGGATACCACAGTCGGCTTGTACGGGAAGCCATAGAAAACCACAAACACATAGAAAACTACAACAGAAAACAGGAGGCGATAACGCTTAACCGGATTTGGAATTCCATACTAAAAGAGGCTAAGATGGCAGCAGTGCAACGCAATGTAACAGGTAATGACACTTCGGCCAAAGACGCTAAGGTGGCAGCAGTGCAACGCAATTTAACAGGTAATAACAACGAACCAATTAGAAAGGCGGGCTACCTGTGTCAACATAAATACAGCTTACGAGCTAGAAATCACAAGTCATCGGTGAACCTATGAAGAAGCCAGCCACTCGTGCTGTCGAAACGTTAGGATACAGTTCCAAACCACGACGGCCTTCAAACCCGAACGAAGATCATAACACTGATTCTTGGATATACTGAACAACAGAAAAACTGACGGAAAACTAGGTTACTTACTTATAGTGATTAGTATCTCAACAAGAACTCAAACTACCATTCAGGGCAAAAACGTGCTATGACGATGAAACTTGTTGGTGCCACCTGGATTTGTGAGCCACATCTTCTTGATAAACAACTTTGTCATCTATATATATCAAGCTCTACAGGCCAACAGGTTTACAGCGAAATAAATCAAACCTGCTTTACATCCTAGAAGAAGAAATATTTCAAACTTCGACTACGATACAGCCGCCAATGGTAGGCACATTCTATTTGCTTTTCATAACCAAAGTTCATGTCATAACCTTACGACTATTTATCAGCAACACTATCAGATTGGCCAAGAACAAAAGAGGGCCTCTGACATTCGCCGGTGTTAACAGGATTCCCTGTTGCGGGGCTCAAATTGCATCGGAACTACCAAACGCAGTATCAACAGAAGGATACAAGATCATAAGCTGTCACTTCAACCGACCAGAGTAATCCGCAATTGCAGACAATGAAATCTGACCAGATTTTTTCATCCATCACACTAGTGATTCATTTTCAACATACTAAATTTCACATGAAGTCCTTTTCGAAGGTCGTTTCTAATTCAGATTTTCTGCTATTAGATGTGATTGTCAGGAACAGAATCTCATGCACTTCACTTGCCGTGTTGTGAAGACTACAATTTTTTTTAAATTAGTTTTCACATTAAAAACATATTCTCTACAGTAATATCGGTTTGATTACTTCAATAATTAAGATATACTTTTTTTTAGGGTTGCACCCATCCCAACATATATGAGCCAGTCGTGGCACTTTTATCACATTTCACCCTTCTCCTGAATTTCATCGTGGTGGATCCTTCACAAAGCATCGCTTTTCCAATGAATGTCATAGCTATGCTACCTTACATGCTCTTGAATTACGAAGACGCCAATGAGCTTTGCATTCGAGCTGCTGAAAATATTGCTCAGGTATAAGTTATTGATGAAACTTTTGCTGTACTTATTATCAAATCTGTTGTGGTTTTCAGGTGAGCATCGAAAAGGGTAAAAAATTAGAGAATCTTGGAACTGTCATGAATTTGTACAGCAGGAGAACGTTCAGCAAGGAGAGTTTTCAATGGACCAAATGCGTTGTGAAATATCTCCATGACATTTATTCCCATCTGAGTTTGAACATGCTGTCGTTTTTGATCGAAGTCTTAGAAAAAGGACCCAGCAATCTTCAGCTGCCAATCCTGAACATAGTTCACTGTATTTTGCATTACGTAGATTTGGCCTCTGCTGCAGCTCAGCCAGTCAATGCTGATTTGTTGAAAGTTATTGTTAAGTACGTGGAAGGGCCAAACTGGAAGGAGGCGCTGAAAATACTGAAGTTGGTGGTTAGCAGATCGAGTTCTTTCGTAGCTCCGCCCATTTCAGTGTTGTCACATTGGGAAACTTTGGCAGCTCCCATACCCCACCCTTCTTTCAACGAAGATGCGTTTGTCAGGAAAGAGCTACCAGGTGAAAATTTAAGATTTTTGAAAGCGAAAAAAAATTGTAATGTATGACTGATTATAATTTCCAGGAAGAACCATGGAGTTCACGTTCGATATGTCTCAAACTCCTGTAATAGGTCGAAGATATCTGAACAAATCTGAAGAACAAAGTGCATCAGCAATATCTGCAACTCCCAGAAGATCTTGTTCTATCAGCCCCGCTGATGTTTCTCCTTTGTCTGGTTGGAAGAGACCGTGGATGTGTCAGGTATTTTATTGTTTTGTAAGACGAATGTTTGCTTGGTGGAGAGCTTCTTCAGTGTTAATGCACATTTGGGAAAATACAATTTACGAGGAGTTTTTTGTTTTGAATATCAATGGAGTCATAATTGGGAAGAATTTCATTATGTCTCATAAAGATAAAATTAATTCTATCGACACTATAAAATTACACTATTCTTGTAAGTACTTACACGCTAATGATTACATGAGTGTAGTCGAAATTGTTGAAAGTTCTGTCTGGGAACTATTCAAATTGAAGGTAGATGTTGATCTTAACTGATAACAAAATCACCAATATTTTTTAGGTAATCTGGTGTATTTTTTAAAGATTGAGAGCTTCCTTGAAGTTTTACCAAGTGTCCTAATATACCTGGCCTATTTATATTTTGAACTGCTTCCCTTACAAACAACCTTTGGAACTCTTTAGGAGATTTGTGCAAGCTAAAAGAGCATTACAATATTTGTCACATTCTTCTAAATTGAATTCCGATTTTCTATAAATAGCTTGGCTTTTGTGATTCAGTGCTTTGCATTTGCAAATGATATATGTCTCTTCTCTGCATTGGCTGAGCCAAAGTTTGTGTATTAATTTTTTTCATGTGTATTCTAAATGTTCATTATTCCTGTCCATGTTGAAACATTTCTCAACTTGTTTTTTCAGACAAGTTCTTTAAACAGTGAAAAGAGAAATGAAAATTTCTATGTTTTTTACCACTTTTAATTGTAACTAACGTTACTGCATTCTCAAACTAATACAATTGTTTTAGTTTATTAAAAGTGGTAAAAAACAGAAATTTTCATTTCTTTTTTCATTATAATCTCCTATCACGTAGTAACGGCTACATCCATCAATTTATTCTTTAAACAGGTTTTCTTGAACGATGAGAAACAGAACAAGACCTCAAAATAGATCCTTGCGGAACTCCACAGCATGAAAGATGGTGTATAGCCAATATATTAGGTTTTTTCGAAAGTTTTGTCCGTTTTCATGAGTTCACTTGTAATATCTCAGTAAATTTTTATTCAATTTAATCGAAATAATGCGCCATTCGATCCACTGCATTTTTAGATATAAAGAAATGAACTTTGAATGTTCAAGCCAGTCTCAGATATACCTACACAGTAGGTTGAATGGACTGACGCCTATCAGAAAACAACTACTCCCCTGGCTAATATCACGAAAGACGTTGAATTATTTCCGACAGGCGTCGGTGACGGGAATCTTCAAAAAATATTTCCTTTATATGCAATTGGCAATACAACTGAAGAAGTCGATCCTCAATTTTGGCAAGGGCACACTTGCAGACCGGTTTCAGGCTCATTAGCCACTCGTCAGTGCAAGATAGTGGCCATCATCGACATAAAGTCAATGATAGTCCATAATTGCAAATCGAAATTCTTTCAGAGTATTTCATTCCTCGTTCTAAGTTGGAACGAACAACAAAAATATCACTCCATCTAGTGGACGAGGTACTAACCAACTGCATATCCAATATTTGCCCGATTCCTCTGATTAAGGAAGAAAAACTTCCTTATTAGACAGTGGGCTATGCTTGAAGACAGGCAGTGAACAGATCTAAAGAAATAAATGAACTTTACCTACACAGTAGGTTGTATGGACTGACGCCTAACAGATAGGCCTATCTGTTAGGTGTCCAGTCCATACCTACTCTGTAGGTATATCTGAGACTGGCTTGAACATGTAAAGTTCATTTCTTTAGATCTGTTTACTGCTTGTCTTCAATAATACATTTTTGCCAACTTAACACAAGTCGATTAATTCCGTCAGCATTATAATTGTGTGCTCGGGATTTGATGAAGTTGACGAAGCCCGTTTTTGCCTGGTTCTGATTGGCGAAGGTTCTACCAGTGAGAAAGTTATTGAAGCACTTGAAAAATGGTAGTCGATCGGCGAGAGGTCTGGAGAGTTTGATGGGTGAGACAGAACTAGAATGCACAATTCGTTTAATTTTCAGAATGTGATTAATGACACGTGCGGATGGTTTTGTCATGGAGCGGGATCGTACGTCTTCTGTTGATCAATGCCAGCTGCTGCTGACGCAATTTCCGGTACATTTCGTCGATTCTCTCACAATAGAACTCTGCTGTGACGGTTTGGCCCGGTTGTGGAAAGTTATAGTGAATCACACCAGCCGCTAACATAAAGTAACCATTGTCTTTTTTTCGGTGAGTTATCGCCTTTTGGAAGTGCCTGGGTCACTCATCGGTGTTCAACAACTGTCCTGAATGCCCCCTGTTGTAGAAGAATCACTTTTCATCACAGGCAACGGTTCGATCCCAAAAAGGATCGCAAAAGCAAAGAAGAACAGACCTTGAAACGTAACAATTTCGATCGATTGCTCAAATCATGGGGCAGCCACTTTTTGAGCTCTTTGACCTTTCCAATACATTTTAAACCATCAAAAATCGGGTGGGAGCTGATGCCCAGTTCTTTCGCCATCTCAGGCACTGTTTGTGATTGGTCAATCAAATCTCCGGAACGAAATTTTGCAAACCGACGTCGAACAATGTGTTCATCAATACTATCATTGCCAACTGCCTGGTTAATTTTCTGGGTTGTTTCTGTGCTGTAGAAAATCGCCTAACGACATAATAATAGGTTGAAGAGAGACAAAAAATTAAAATTGACATAAAATCAACAGCATCAATATATGGAGTACAAAATTCTTCATTAATCAGTATATACCACGACACATTAGAATGAATAGTTATTGGGATATGGAGCTACAAAAACAAATGACATTGAAACGGACAAAACTTTGAAATGAGCCAATAGTTTAGTAGACATGCTTCTGGAATAGAAACGTTATGTATATCAATTTTGAATGAACTGTGGTTGAAAGAGTTTGAACGAAGAGAATATTCGATATTTCCGTCGCATTCAGAAAAGCATCCATATATTCGCGGAAAGAATCAACTATGTGACTAATAGTTATGAAATGAATTTATAATTTTATTTTCAGGGTAGAGTCAGGGAGTGTCTGGTTAACCTCTTGACAACGTTCGGTCAACGAGTCGGTTTATCCAAGAGCCCTTCAGTAAATAATCAGTTCTTTATTTTTAGAATGCTTACTAATTACTAAATTTTAGGTTATATTCAGTCAAACCTCTGACATTATAGAAAGACAATCTAGCATGGCTTCAAGCACCGAAGAAGTTTCAGCCGGTAATAATGATATGAGCGGCGGTTCGAGGAGAGATGACGCTGCTGCAGAATTTGGGGTTTTCAAAGATTTCGACTTTCTTGAGTATGAGAGTGAAAGCATTGATGTAAGATATTTCTTTCCGAAGCGTTCTTTGAAATTAGCTGATATAATAAGAAGTCACCTCGAAAAAGTCTTGAGTAATATTAATTTTAGGGTGAAAGTACAGATAATTTCAATTGGGGTGTTCGCCGCAGACCCCTGAGTCAAGGAGAAGATGATCAGACTGCCACAAAACAACTTGAGGATAGTGTTAGCGAAAAAACTCCGGTATTGACTGTTAGAAAGGTACACATCTGTCCTTTTAATCATAATGTGAGTGACCGTTTTTTTGTGTTTGTTATTTTGCTTTCTCTGTTTTTTATGTGGGTTACGGCTTTCATTTGTTTATACATTCGCATTCATTCATCTGAGAATCTTCATCTCATTTCACATATTTTCTTCAGGATTGTTTTCTGTAATCATTTTTTCTTTGCAGAGAATTTTGACGGAAGAATCATCCGATGATGAAATCGGATCGGAATCGCCACTTGATGAAATTGCAATAGCCCCTGAGTTTGATAATAGTATGATTGACAGCAGTTCCATGTTTCCACCTTCCTCCCTAGCCCTGAGAGAGAATAATTCTCAGGTTCAATCTAGTGCTAGATCTGATACCAGGTAATGTAATTGATCTGAGTGGTTGACTGGAAGAATAGCGCTTTGCTAAACTTTGCCACGTAAAATGAAGACCATTTATTATTAATATAATTATTTTTACCGAAGTATGCGCTGGTCAGGCCCTATCGCCTGAAGCCCCGATACATTCGGGAGGGCGCGCCAGCATTATCAACCAACGGCCTGAGAGTGGGGAACGAATAGTTCCAATAAATTTGGCATATCTCGTTCCCCACAACGGATTCAATATCCCCCGGAACGTAGGGAAACACCGGTGTCTCGTCAATACCGTAAGAGTGCCGTAGATGTAGCACTCTTAGGGCCGAGTTATGTCGATGGATATAGGCCGAGACACCATATGCTGGATATGCTGATAGCAAGTGATAGCAAGGGTCTCGGGCGCCTCGTGGCAGGCCGTGCACCTTGTGTCAGGAACCTCTATACCCATCACGCGACTGCGGTAGACTATGGTGTTGAAGACACCATCCTGGCAAGCCATGATGAACACCTCAGTTTCCGACTTCAGCCCACTCGACTTGAGAAAAGCGAACGTGAGGCGCTTTGATAAGCCAAGGTCTCCAATGTTATTGAAGAAGATCCCATGCATTGGCTTATCCTGGTGTTTCCGCAGAAGTAAGGTGATCTCTGCCGCTCTTATCTGAGCTTTTTGCTGAACGGGTTCCAACTCGGTGACAGAGTTGTGGTCACCTCGTTCAGTGTCGAAAACTATACCGAGTTCATCAGCTGCGCGGGTAGCTGTCCTAAAGAGAAATGCTCCAATTTCTGCTCTCTCATGGTCACGACATCATTTGAATTCATGAAATTTCAGTTTTCACTTTTTGGTATATCCTTGAGCTCTCTCAGTAATTCGGAAATTATTTCCACCATCACCGCAAAACGTCGTCCATTAATGGGTATAGGATAAAGTCGCAGGGGGCCAAATCTGGTGAATACGGTGGCTGAGGCATGGTTGGAGTCTTGTTTTTGGTCAATAAATTACGAACTAGCACCTTCTGTGAAAACTGTGTGCAACTTTTGAACATTTTTCGGTCTCAGAGTACAATCACCGTATGGCACTGTCAATATTTCAAGTGTTTTTTGAGCTCTTAATTAAATTTTTCACACAAAATTTGATGCAAATTCTTTGATCCAATACTTTCGATAACACATAATCTTCGAACAAAACATAAAAAAAATTTGGTAATCCAATATACGTAGCCCTTATTTTTTCAACAGTCTCTGTAAATGTATTCTGAAAGAGTATGTTAATGGTCAGACTGTAAATATAAAATATGACTATAATGAAACGCGAGTCCAGATGACTTTCATCCAATCATCTTAAAAAGCTGTTAAATTAAGTCACTGATTAATTAAAAATGAAATTATTTTTGATGACAGTGTTTACAAGTAAAGAGTTATAGTCAAAATTGAATATTTTAATACAAATGATTATGTTTATAATTAGACAAATAATAAATGCTTGAAGATGTTTTCTAAATTTATTTCATTTGAATCTCAATTAGTCTCCAGTATGTGTTAACAGTTGCGTTGATTTCGAAACATTCATTGGCTCAAGAACTTGATATAATCGATGAATTGATCGAACACTGGTAATGAAAAAAGGAAAAATTCAATTCTGATTGCATCGATGAGAGTGAGCAAATAAAGAAGTATGCTTACAAATATATTGAAAAAAATTGCCAAACTTTTTTGGTAATATCGAAATATGCAAAGTTACCTCAACTTGTTTCGGCTTTTTTAAGAAAAATAATTAGGTCGTGAATTGATGAATTTATGTATTTCATATATATCCATTTTTTATTATTGTTTCAAGTGATGAATATGCTATTTCTGCTTCTTATCATTGTCAAAAAAATATCAAATGCTCACCATCCAGCCTTAAGTGTTCCAGATCAATTTTTCTTTCATTATGTTTCAGAAACTTCTGTGCATGATCTACACATTTTACAAAACTATTATTGATGTATTTAATTTTTTATCTTTCTGTGGAAGTTACCCACTCTTGATATATCAAGGAAGTGGAAAGCCCGAAAAGTTTTTTCCAAGTAAAGAATAATTTATTCAACATTCGTTTACGTTTCATACATTTATTACTTAATATTTTTTTTAGCGGTTCAAGTGCTGGTGATTTAGGAGAAGTAACTCCGTGTAATGCTTCTCCGAATTTATCTTCATTGATAAATATGAGAGCAGTTTCTAAAAGTGACGTATTTGAAAACTGGACGAGCTATATACAAACAAACATGTTGCAAACACCTGCTAACACTCTGCAATTTTTTCATCAGTTCCAGAAACTAGTAGGGGTATGTATATGTATTTGCCCTTTATTTTGTTATAGGTTACATTGTATGAATAGTTTAATCCTTGCAACAGCTGGAACATAAATTTGAATTTGGTTATGTTAGGTCAAAAATGAGTGGGCCTATTCTACCCTCCACCGCAACCCGCAAGGGTTTATTGTGGCTCACACCTATTCAAACTCGACCAAATAAACCCAGCTCCTTGACGAAGCTGATTAGTTTGTTTGACGAGTGATCTTTCAGGTCAGGCAGAAAAATTGTGGTTCTACCAAACGCTGAAAATCTGATTCAGTCCGCAGCGGGGGAGGCAAAAAGTATATGAAAAAACCAAGAATTCAATATATTGCTTTGCTAACGAGAGCACAATTGTTTCGTCATTCCATTTGGATTCCAGGACATCGGCTGCGGATGCACACCTTCACCGATAGCAGGAGGTTGCATATCTCAACGAGGATCTAGAAGTGATTTCCAATTGGGGTGAAACTAACCAGGTTCAATTCAATGCCACAAAAACCAAGGCATCGGTTTTCTCCAAGAAGATAAATGTTTCCGAATCGGATATAATAAACTCAGATCAGACAATTCCTCTTTCTGCTTCGATAAGTTTGTTGGGGGTCAAAAAGGACACCAATATGTCTTGGCACAATCATGCCGCTGGAATTGCAAAAGCCACTTCTCAAAAGCTTGGAACACTGTTACGAACCAGAAAACTGTACACACATCAGCAACTTTTGATGCTTTATAAAGCTCAGATCAGACCTTCTTTGGAGTATTGTTCCCATGTATACCCTAAGCATACCCTGAAGTTGCTGGATTCCATCCAGAGAAGAGTCATCCTGCCTGATTGGAGACGCGAACATCATTTGCAACCTTGATAGTCTGGAACATCGAAGAAAGGTTAGAGATTTGTCTTTCTTCTATAGATACTTCCACGGGAAGTGTTCAAGTGACTTGGCACATTTGATTCCACCAAGAGCGGTACGTATCAGAAATACCGTCGCGTCGCTGCTCATCGTTTTGAGGTTCAACTCAGTACATCTTGAACTTCACTGTTCAAGAACACATTCATTTGGAGAACTGCGTTTATGTGGAATAAACTTTCTGAGAACGTTTTTCCAAATGCTTCACTTTATTATGCTCCAGAATTGTACAACAAACGACCTTGACAGATCAGGGATCTTGAAACAAATAAACTGAAGATTGTATTGAAAGATTATTTGACAAAGTCTTGTAATCTTTAGAATGTTGTATTTATTGTATTTGTCTCTGAGAGAATGATGTAAAAACTTTAAACTGTTGATATTGTGAAACCTACGTACCTACTTCAATATATTTTATAAGTCATATTTCTGTATCTGTGCTGTATTGACCTGTGAAAAAACTTAATGTTTATTTTAACATCAATAAAATATTCTATTCTATTCTAATTTCCAGCGATTCAAATTTAATGTGAATCAACAGTTTCGCACAGGCACCGCTCTTAGGGCGCCTTAAGGATTTTCCTGTAGTGCTTGTGTTTTGTCCTTGAAAAAACCACCCAAGTCGCAGATTAACTACTTATATTCTTCCATTAGTTTATTCATGACCATTTTTTTATTAAAGTAACTGAGTCCATAGCAGTAGATGTCGTTGCCCCCCCTCCCCAATAAAGCAACTTAATATAATTATTGAAGACTAAAGTAGTTCATTTGATTTCCAGGACATATGTATGTCAGCGACTGAAATAACTCGAGAATCTTGCTCTTTCATGTCCCAATCAGCAATGAGTGGTCTACCAACTATCAAGTTGATTAGTTCAAGATTGATGTCAATGATCGACATCATCACCTTCCGCATCTTGCCAGTGAATCTGATTTGGTTCAACACCTTGGCAATAAGTAATTCCAAGTTTTTCGAGACTTTGAAGTATGGGATGTTAGAAGTCCAAGAGCATCTGGAGACATTTTGTGATAAGAAAGAGCAAGCCACTATGGTAATGGATGGGAATTGTGTTCTAAAGAATGGTTTTCATTATATATTTTTTAGTATTGTGACGCTGTCAAAACTACTTTGAAGTTGGAACGCTTAAGTGGACAACAATCGGATTTTCATCATGAACAGTATTTACTAGATTTGGGGAAAGCTCTCTACAAGTTATATTTTCAACTTTTGCTCTTGGTCGAAGCTGGAAACAAAATGGTTGCCATTTTGCACAACAGTCTGAAGGCTGCTGAAGTAAGTAGGCGTTTTTCAAAATTATTGTTAGTGAACAATTAATTCAATATTTCCAGATGCATTGAAGACTTCTACTTTTTGTCATGCCCTCGTTGATTAATTATGTAACTATTTTTAGTTGATTTTCAACATATTTTCGTAATTGTATATTTGAAGACAAAGTTCCGTGAAATCTAATGATTGTAATCTTTTGAACCGCTCTACAATATTTGTCCGAAGTCAAGTGAGAATCAGTCTTGTGCTCTAATCTAGATCAAATTACTTACTTGATAAGAAACACGTCTTTTCAAATTAGCTGACCAATACAATTTGAATCGTCACTATTTCACTATAAATCAAAACGTATTGCAAATGAGGATAAAAATTTACATTGAACTACAATGGGCTACGTAGCACAAATGTACAAGAAAATGTTTTAGCAAGGTATTCAATGCAATATGATGAAATTCATTTTGAGTCTTCTTCAAAGTGAGAAAATTGAGTTGAGTACTAGTGGGGAATGTTCCTCCTGACGAAAATCAAGTAGTTTTCATGAAAGAGCTCTAAAACAACGCATTTTAAATTTATCAGTTCAACCTTTTTCTTTAAAAAATTATTTAAATACTTAAAAAAGAGGAATGAAATAATGCATTCAACATTTAAAGGGATTCGTTTCCATTTCACCATTTGGCAACATCGGTAATAGCTAATAAAGGACAATGAATCTGGTACTTGTATGAGACAAACAAAGATAACATATTCCAGAGGTTCTGTTTACTTATGTTCCGAGTTCCGAGACATTTTGTGATATATGACATTTTGTGCATCTAACCTATCTTCCACTATATGAATAAATAACAAAACAACTGTTGTTTATGTGGCTTGTGGAGGTGGTATGGAACTATAATTTATATTTTGCCTTAATTGTTGATTTATAAAGATAATTTTCCTTTTTTAAAGTAGAATATCTAGACACATGTCTTTCAATAAATTTTGTATGTTCTCAAATTTGAATTTGGGTTTCTTCATGAGTTCTAAAACTTACTCCTAGTTGCTTTCCTGAATTTCAATAATGATATTATTTATCGATATTACTAACATCTCTAATGAGACGTTAGTATTATCGATAAATTCAATGAACTAAAGCACTGTCTCTAGACGCGTGTTTCTCTAACCAAGTTAACATAATCAGATGATCACTGAAACTGACAATATTTTTTGATTTAATAAATACGTGTTCCTTCATTACGTTAGTATTACAACTGACACTCATCAGTGTTACAACCGTCTCAGGTATGGGTCGGTCAAAACATATTCAATGAATTTTTAAATGGAGTGTATAATTTTATTTTAACCTCATCCAATTCTAGTTAGATAATCAAGATCCGACTGAGGCCTACTATTAAATATGCTGAAATAAAAATAATGATAAAAAAAGACATTTTACGGAAATTGTTTCAATAGTCACTGATCTCCCGTAAAAACTACTAGGCAAGATTTTGGTGAAAATATGAGCCCCACGTCGCAAAAGTGACTCAAATGAACTCGCAGCAACAAAAAACTAAACTCAAGACTGAAGCACATTTATCTATTGCCTCATTAACTCAATACACACTGCACTTTCCAAACTAGACTAGACCTACGTCGCGGTAATACGCATATATATCCTGATGGAACTCTTGAAGCTAGTGAAACAATTCTAGAAAAGACGCGGCGTTCTAGAAGATTCGATAGGACACTAATTACAACACTGAAACTCTAACTAAACTCAAGACTGAAGCTCATTTATCTATTGTCTCATTAACTCAATACACACTGCACTTTCCAAACTAGACTAGAACTACGTAGCGGTAATGCTCATATATCCCGATGGAACTCTTGAAGCTGATGAAACAACTCTAGAAATAACACGGCGTTCAAGAAGATTCGATAGGACACTAAATACAACACTAAAACTCTAACTAAACTTAAGACTAAAGCTCATTTATATATCGGCTCATTAGCTCAATTCACACTGCACTTTCCAAACTGGACTAGACCTACGTCGCGGTAATGCTAGTATATCCCGATGGAACTCTTGAAGCTGGTCAAACAACTCTAGAAAAGACGCGGCGTTCTAGAAGATTCGATAGGAGACATAATGGGACTGAGCGTGACCTTGACAAAGTTGCAGTCTATCGGAGAAGACCAGCGTCGGCCGGCGTTATTTTTGTTTAGGGTATACTTTACAGCTATCCAATTTAAGTAACTCACAAATTGTCAAGTTTTTTCTCTAATAATGTGCACCTGCATTTCGTTCCCCAGTAGAATTAGGAATGGAAGGGTTTCTGCAAATATATTTTTGAAGGTGTTCAAATAGCGGTATTTAAAAGTTCATAATTCGAACAGTAATTAGATAATTTCACGTGATTGTAATTCCATCCATCGTGAAAAAATGATGATTTGAACTCTTCACCGGTTTTTGTAACACCACTTCCTCTCTATATAACCTAAAAATGTATTGAGTGATCATTACACTAACTACCTCAATAGTTGAATATAGTCAGTTACATTATTGATTATCAGTTTAAGGATGTCACATCAGATATAATGTCAATTAAAAACGCCTTGACAAGAGCCTACGAGGATACAGATGCGGACGGTGGAATAGCTTCTGCAATGGGCGGTTGTGTCAGTTCTGAAAACCTCCTCTCGAATTTGTGTAGGCTTGTCGAGAATGAGAAATGGACTTCAGTTATTTTATATTTCAAATGCAATCGAGAGGAGTTCATGAAGGAGTTCGAAGAATTATGCGATAAGGATAATGATGTTATTTCCATTCTGAATATTTATTGCAAGAAACTTGTCCATGACAAACCTGGTGAGTTGGTTAGTCATTTCAAAATACTGTGATACTAATGCTGACTCTTTCCAGAATATTTTGTGATAACAAATCAAGACTCTGACTTGGCGGATGTTTTTGGAAGACTGTTTCAGGTGTCAGCTGCAGTTTCTGATTTAGAAGGAGTTTTGAAAGAGCAACCTAGTAAAACAACTAGTACTCCGATAAAATAAATTAGGATATCAATGTGACGTTATGATATTTTTTAGTTGGTACAGCTTTCATGTTACTCTTGAAGAACTCGATTTGAAAACCATGAATTTTACGCACATTATAGTTTATAGAAAAGGCTTAACACTTGTAAAGACTCTTCAGGTACAGATGGGCGAATGAGGTTTTGGCGAAATTGAAGCTAAGACGAAGTTCATCTTTCAGGCAACACAGATCACAAGACTTTTGTGATACAAACTGCGACATATCATATTGACTGGTGCTGATTATAATTTTTGTGTAACAACTTGTAACATAAATGTTGTACCAGACATATCTCTCTATAAAGTCAAATAATTTAAGGGTTATTCATCAAGTGATTTATACTCAGAAGAAATGTTTCAAGTATTTTTTTTATCAGCGTTTATTGAAAAATTACAAAAAAACTTCCATAGATATGCCAAAGTGTATGCATAGGAAAAAATACTATTTAATTGCTTTTCGTGTATTATTTTTTCTTATTTATTGTCATATNTTCCCTTATTGATTTCAATTCAAGAGCCACCGGTAGACAGCTGTTTCAGCCTATTTTGCATCGTCAGTACCGGGCAGGAGGTCCTCGATTGAAGATAAAATGTAAATAACCAGAAAAAGCACTTGATAAAAATAAGTGAGTAATCGCAAGCGAGACATAAGTGGAACCAACTATTGGTGTGACACCCAAGTCAACTTGCCAAGTTTTTAGTCAGTGTAGGTGGTTTGATCAATCAACCGACAACTGCGGATTCGTTTTCCGATGGCATTCCAGGATAGCTTCCCAACTTTCTGTTACCGTTGTTGCCTACGAAAATATAGCGGTACAGAAAAACAGTGATGTAAAGGTAATTTTTATATGTGAACGCTCCCTTTTTACCCCAACGGAGGGCGCTCCAGATAGAATATTTGAAAATATTTTCTTAGTACTTGAGAAGCACCTATATACCAAATTTTAGCTTACTAGGATTTACCGGTACGTAGAAACAGATGAATGGGTGAGTGTTAAGTGAGTGACTTTCACATTTATAAGTATGGATATGTTTGAATTGAAAGGGGTATATTTTTAGAGAAGATTCGTTTTTGGAAATAAATGTTTTGACTTTTCTCTCGAAACAACTACTTTCATATAAACAATAAATTACACATAAGAAAAAACACTTTTAAAACAACAACTTTTATATACTTTTATGAATTATTACGTACTGTCACAATATTTTGAGGCAATTATTACGTACTGTCACAACATTTTGAGGCTTTAGTTGCTAAAGTTTAAAGGGTCACAAATTTTATTCGGGTTTGACGACCGTCGATTTTTGGACTTTCTGACTTTTTGCTGGTGCGAGTGGCTAGCTTCTTCAGAGATTCATAAATCTCGAGTTTATATTCAATGACATCGGAGATAAACTCATGTGACATAAAGTTGTAATTTCATGAAAGAACTGAGTGCTTCATATCGTAATGTTATCCAGATTGCTGCTGAAGAAGTAATTAGACAAGCGCCTCATTCCGAAACGTCGGATATCCGCTATTAAGAATGACTAAGTGAAATTTTACTTTTTTCATATACTATATTGTGCAGCAATACTAATATGTGTTCCGTCACCATCTCCCTTTATATTGTTTTTCTGATTAACTAGAGTTTTTGTTTTATTTTCACTTTTTTTTTGTCTCATCTATCGCGAAATGACTGTGGTTTTCTGTGACTTCCGCGAAAGGAAGATCGCGCACCTATATTGGGGATTCGGAGTGCAAGCAGTACCGAAAACGGTTTTGTAAACTACGGTCGTACTCACACAGGACATATTCGAAAAGTTTTTGTCTCTCTCTCTCTCTCTCTCTCTCTCTTCAGCAACTCCGTACGTGCCGTTGTTACCAGAATTAAGGTAAGGATATCAGTCATGTTTAATTTTTTCACCAAGAACAGTTATTGTGTAATAAAAACTTATGCAGAATGAATCCAAAAAGTTTCAAAATGTTCTGCAGTAACTATTCGGGGTGAATTTTTCACAAGTACAAATATTATGAAGATCACTCCAATTCATTATCAATTAATACAACATTTTCATTCAAAATTTCATATTTTGACATTGTTTCAAATGAAATGTTGAAGGAAGTATCTTGTTTGTATTTCATATACCAATTTCATTTCCTTCAACATTTAAATAGTGACATCAATATTTACCTCACAGCCATATACCACAAATCCAGTTGCGTGTTTATATTGAGAATACTTTGATTGAAAGGAATAATTTGTGGTGAAATTCTCTTTCTATATATTAAAATTGCAGAGGTACAGGTGAATAACAGACATATTTCCTATAGACATCAGGGATGGGAACGAAATAAGATAATCACTTCATATTATTAAACAGACTCCCCTGTTTGAATCCGATAAACTCAAAAACCACCCAACAGATTTTCATACCGTTTATACCAACGGACGAAGTGATTATGTGCATAATACTTAAATGTTTCGTGTGAACTGATTGGTCGTGTGATTGACTAGTCCAATACACATTTTTATGGACTTTGGTGATGAATAAATTTGATTCTATTTTGATTTGAATTACGATTTTATCCGGGCGAAGTCGAGGCGGCTGTGCTACCTGTGCAAAGCCGGGACATTCATCGAAAACGCTGCCAAATCCCTTCACAAAATATTTTTTTATAGGTCTATAAAAAAGTCCGTGATAGAATATGTCTATCTTTTGAGCCTACTATAGCCATTTCATATTTGTGAAATGGGTTAATGGTCAGTCCCGAAGTCCCACAGGTATCTGCTCTTTCTCTTACACTCCCGATTTTTATAAAGTATGGGATAGTATCATTAGGCAAAAATCTGATTTTAATAATAATAATGATGTTTATTTTATAGAAAAATACAGAAAGAAAAAAAAAGGCTATCCAACTTCGAAAATAGACATGAGACATCACTGAAGCTTTAAAGCTTGTGCGTGATATAGATGATAATATGTATATAGTATAGGATACAACAATAATACATATAATTATCATTAATATTAGAACAACAATTATATTTTGAAATATTTACACAGGTAGGTAAATACCATGGAACTAATTTCATAATTTTTTGTTTTTTCTTTTCGTTTATTTTTGTTATTATTATCAAGGTAGGGTTTTGGTGTTCTTATTTTGGTATGTAGGTTGTCATAGTCAGGTATTTGTCGTATTTGAGTGATTTGGAGTGTAACTGTTTATTGTAGAAACTTTAGGTTTATAAGGCCATTAAATATGTTTCTATCTGTTTTACATGTTATTTAAAAGAGGTATAACATTTGATAGATTAGAGGTTTTCTGGCAGTAAATTGTATATTCTTGGTGCAAGATATTCTGCTGAACGTTGACCGGCTGTTTTTTCACAGGTTGGAACCTTCATGTTTTTATTTTTTATTCGAGTTTCATAACGGTGGTCGATGGGTGTTAACTTGATTTTATTTTTACGGATATACATTAGAATTCGTTGACAAAATATTTGTCTTGTATCAAGAACATTGGTCTCTGAAAATAGCTTGTCGTTGGGGTATCTTATATTCTAGCACTAGAGTGCCACCAAGATTTAGCCAAAGCCTCGGTAGATAATAACATTATCCTGAGGTGGATTAAAGGGCACGAAAGGAGTAGAGGTAATCGCATTGCCGACTCTTTAGCCAAGGAAGCGGCTGGACTAAGAATTTTAGGACCAAGTGGCACCCACGGCCTGATGACTTCGACAATTGCGGAACTAGTCAAATGTTACACCCATGCTCAATCTTTAAAGAGATGGGATGAAATCAAAGGATGTAATCTTGCCAGGATCACCTTGGGCGACCCTGGGAAGCTGGCGCCGAAGAAATATCTGGCGATGACCAGGAAAAATCTACGCCTTACAGTAGGATTTCTGACTGGCCACTGTCAGCTAAGGAAACACCTACATAATATGGGTCTAGTGGACACACCTCTATGCAGGATGTGTGAACAGGAAGATGAGACTGTCAGGCATGTCCTGTGCGAGTGCCCGGAGTTATCGTCAATAAGAGAGTGTGCCTACACCTGCCGATATAAAGGAGATGTCTCCCAGCGACCTGTCCACCTTCCTGGAAAGGACAGGATGGACGACGACCTAGGAGGACAACTCCTCGGGAGGATGTACAATGGGTCGCATGTGGCCTAAGTGCGTGGGCTTACACTCACCCTCCCTACTCTACAGATACAGAACCCTATGCAATACGTTTATTTTGTCTATTTTTGAGTACTGTGATATTGTGTGAAAGCCATTTTATGGGTTTTTTCAGCCATGTTCTACAGGTTTGCATGCCTGACGTTTCATCTACTACTGCGGTAGATATTATCAAAGGCGATGTGGTAACAGTCACAGTAAGTGGAGACGTAAGACATACATTTAAAGTACATTTCGCGAAGTCCTCTGGTGGTGCAAGAAGAAAGGTTTATAAAATATAAAGAACACTTGAAACTAAACAAACAGAAACACTGAACCAAAATTTTTTCTTATGTACTTTTCTGGAACATTGAACAACAATATTGATAATGAAAAAAAAAGATTCAAAAGTAATAAAAAAAACATCATGTCTATGTCGCCGTATTGAAACCCGAATCACTGAGACTGCGGCTACTTACTCACTTTACTCTAATTAAAGAAACAAAAATGTTCTTTATCTTTTTGCTGAACCATATTCCCATTTTCTCCCTTTACATCTATCTCTCTTAGGAATATCTTTAGGTTGAGAATTTTCTGATGTATTATTCATGAGAAAAATCAATGGCGTGCACTTTTGGATTTTCAATATTAAAAAAAATCGGCTTTGGGTCGTGTGGTCTTCTGCACCGTGAGACCGTGTGCGGTAGCCCACACCGCCGACGCTTTCAGCCGTCTCTGGTCGCAGTGCCCGAGTTGGTGCTCGAGTTGTTGTTCTCGTTGTTCCGACCGCATTGCCACAGTATAACCAGTAGACTCTCTTACCACGTGATCCGCCCGAGTTGCCGGAAACCTTCAACCGCTCTAAGGATGAGATTTTCATCCAACGCGTTCAGTGCTGTAGTATCGAAGGATTCGACGAATCCTTCGATACTACAGCACGAAATTAACTATACACAGTATCGAAATTGATACTGTGTATAGTTAATTTGCTGTTGTTATTATTGTTTTTAGTTTTTTGTAGTTGGTTATTGTTTGTTTTATTATTGAGTGACTATTATATGAGCGCACGCCTATGTCAAAAGAACGGAATTGGCTTCACACTTCGTTTCGAGGTTACCGAGGTTATAAATGAAAGTAGTGGGAGTGAATTTACCGGTTGATTTTTCCTGTGGAATTACTACGATGCTGATATTTGACTCCGGTTTCATGTTATTATTCGTGGGCGTGGCCTGGTTTCTCTTAATTGGATTGCCTGGTCTTGATTGTGTACATGTAAGGTGAGGACAGGTAGCCAGATTCATTAATGTTCATTGCCTATTATTTTCTATTGAAATTATCACTGTATTTTTGAATGTCAATTAAAAAATATGTATGAAATATGTTTTTCGGTTAACCAGCAGTCGCACCCTTACGAACGACAACACTCAGAAGTCGAAACTTGTGTGACCTTTACGACCTTTTAATGTGTGGATTCCCAACATGGTTGGACGGTAGCAAATGAAAATGGATGGTTCAGGCTGCGTCTTGAACCACCTACTAACCCATCGGTCGATTGATTGAGTGAACAAAGCACCCACGTCGAACCGAACGGCTACCAACTACCACTCTATGTACTCTTGAATAATAAGTTTGAGTTTTATCGAGTATTACTGTAGCTTCGAATAGTATAATGTGAGTACTTTATTTGTTGGGAGCTTGTTAGGCTACTGCTGATTTGTCGATTTGTCCGACTCAACAATATATCTTGTGTTCAGAAAGACTGGTACCTACACTTCTTTCCGTGGTTCCAATGTATACGGACCCGCAGCTAAAAGGGATCCAGTATACCCAGGTTGTTAGCTGACCTTAGACCCTGTATGACAGTTTTTGCTAAACCTTGGTTTCATGTCGTGTTTCTCTAAGAATATTCCAATCCGACCTGTAACATTTTCAACAAAGGGAAGGAAAGCTTTTTTCTTGACCAGCCTAGCTGGGGTTACTATGACGCTCTCTCTCCTGGGTCGTATGACCCGCTCCAATTGTCCTTCGCTGTACCTATTCCTTTTGAAGGCATTTCATTAGATGATTGAGGTCCCCAGGGAGACACGCAGGATCACTGATACGTCGTACTCTGTCAACCAACGTTTTAATTATCCCTTTCTATTGTGTGGCTGGTGTTTTTTTGTGTGTGTTGGTGTCCTGTACTATTTACGGCTCAATGTACCATCTTTACGTCTGTTCACAAAAACATCCAAGAAGACTAGATTATCTTGGGTATTTCGTTCCATTGTGAATTGGATTTTTGCGTCGAGAGAGTGTAGATGTGATAGAAAATTGTTTAGTGTGTCTTCACCATCTTGCAATACCACGAACGTTTCATCAACATAACGCAGCTAACAATATGGTTTTTTATGGTTTGCTCTAAGGCCCGTTGTCAAATACAGCGATTGGCTTGTTTAAACATCACATGAGCCATGAGAACAACACCAACTGCGGCAATGGGATTTATTACTGGTCTGACCCCTCTGGACCTGTACGTTAAGGAGGTTGCGTTAATGGCTATGTTACGATTGCGCACTGCTGGCGTAAACCTCGAAGTGGGAATGGCTCGAGGCTGAGTCTATAGCGAGAAGCGCTCACTGCGCAACCTCTGCTGCAGGCAACCAGTGTTGCAATTGAACCCAAGTTTGTGTTTAATGAACCCGCATATATACAGACGGCTCAAAAACCAAAGAAGGCTCTGGAAGTGGAGTGTACTCCAAATCACTAATCCTAAGGATTAAGTGGGGAATGGAAAAAAATACCAGCGTGGTTCGAACAGAACTGGCTGGTATCTCAATCGCCATAAAAGAAATAACCAGAAAAGGAATTTCTGGCAAAAACATAACAATTTGCACTGATAGCAGACAAGAAAAGGTAATCGCATTGTCGACGCTTTAGCCAAGGAAGTGGCGGGACTAAGAATTGTAGGACCCAGTGGCACCTACCGCTTCATGACTTGGACAATTGTGGAACTAGCCATATGTTACACCCATGCTCAACCCCTGAAGAGATGGAATGGAATCAAAGGACGCAATCTTGCCAGGATCACCTTGGCGACCCAGGGAAGCTGGCGCCGAAGAAATATCTGGTGATGATCAGGAAAAATCTACGCTTACCTATTAGTAGGATTTCTGACTGGCCACTGTCAACTGAGGAAATACCTCCATAATATGGGCCTAGTGGACACACCTCTACACAGGATGTATGAACAGGAAGATAAAATTGTCAGGCATGTCCTATGCGAGTGTCCGGAGTTATCGTTAATAAGAGAATGTGTGTTCGGCGAGTCTTGGCCTACACCTGCCGATATGATGGAAATGTATCCTAGTGATCTGTCCACGTTCCTGGAAGGGACAGAATGGACGATGACCTAGGAAGACATCTCCTTGCTACTCTACAGAAACAGATAAGGCCCGTTGCTTGAAATTTTCATGTTTTCATTTTGTTCTCATAACATATGAGGTACTCAGTGCGGACGGTACAGATATTAGTTTTTCCCTGTAACTCTTTGATTGCTCTTATAACTTTTTCAAAGCTCGTCATTATTCACAGTTTGATGATTTAGTTATCTATTTTTTCCGTTCGATTATTTGATAGTTCTTGTAATTTTTTCAAAGCACGCCATTATTCACGATCCAATTTCCATGTCACAAGATCACTGTCAAACCGCTTTTTATTCTCTTCGAGAATATTGATGTTTCGAAAGACATTCACCTCAGAATGAGAATCTTACCAAGATTAATATTCACTGTTATTGTGATAGATATAATTTCTGATAGATCAGTTGAAAGTTTTATGGATGTTGATTTGATGCAAGCGTATTTCCAAGAAAAAAACATTCATCGCTCATACATTATAGTTTGTCTAGAAAAATATGGTGAGTGAAAATATTCCATGTCCGAGTGAATTCCAAAATATTCCTTATTGCCAAGATTCAGGTAAATAATATATAAACTGATTGAGAAAGTTCACGCGGTTGCGATTTGGAAAGCATGGAGGCCAAATTATTGGATCTACTCTCTACCGATCCGAAAAACTACTATACTACTAAAATTTGGGGGAAGGGAAACATTGTGAATTGAAAAATAATTCATTAACATAGTTTCTCATTATTTAATTTTGTTTTTTTTTGGAAAAGACGGCAAGTTGGTGCCGGTACTGAGAAAAGGATTATCAATTTCATCTACCAGCCAGCACGTAGAAAAGTTAATCACTCTGTTTTATGTCAATTGAGCTCATTCTGTCAAAAAATTCTTAAATTTTCATCACTCGTACATATTTCTCTTGAACGAAGTACGAAAAAATGCCTCATGCAATGGTAGTTTGACTTGTAGGTGAAAATTCATATGAGCTTATTGCGAGACGACACGATTCTCTTCCTGAAGCAGTCTTTTTTGGCCGAACGATGTACGAAAAAGTGACGTCTGCAATAGACAATAAAAAAGCTATACATATATTACGAATGCCAAAATGGTACGGATGAAAATACAACAGTACCCCACTTTCTGTAAGGTAACGAGTTCGTGATTACGTTTTTGTCTACTTGTTACGGTTACGGTTACGTTAGTGGCATTTGACCAAATGGATATGCCTCTACAGGTACGTGTGTCACAGTTTGACGGATAAAATGCAACAGTACTGTGTATCCACTATGCGTAACGTAACCGCAAGCGTGTTACGAACATGCACCTACGGGTACGCGTTTTGAAGTGTAACGAATATAATGCAACAGTACTGTATCTCCAGTATTCGTAACGTTCGCGGTGACGTTACGGGTCATTTGTCACAAACGGGAACGCGCCTATTGGTAGACATTTCGAAGTTGTACGGATACAGCACTACGTACGTGTTTCCAGTACGTAGTGCTGTAACGTTACGAGTAATTCGGTACAACTGCATACGCGTCTACGGATACGCGTTTCAAAGTTGTATTGTTACAATTCAACGGTATTATCTCCACTATTAGTTATTTGACATGCTTGCGGTTACGTTACTGGTCATTTGATCATGTGGATATGCGCCTATAAGTTCGCGTGTTAAAGTTTCACGGATAAAATGCAACAGTACTGTGTCTTCACTATCCGTAACGTTATCGCAATCGTGTTACGGATATGCGCCTACGGGTACGCGTTTCGAAGTTAAACAAATAAAATGTAACAGTACTGTTTCTCCACTATCTGTAACGTAATGTATTCGCGGTAACGTTACCGGTCATTTGTTACAAATGGGTACGCTCCTACGGATACGCGTATCAAAGTTTGATGAATAAAATGCAACAGTACTGTGTCTCCAGTATCCGTAACGTAACCGCAATCGTGTTACGGATATGCACCTACGGGTATGGGTTTCGAAGTTTATTGAATAAAATGCAACAGTACTGTTTCTCCACTATCCGTAACGTAATGTGTTCGCGGTAACGTTACGGGTCATTTGTCACAAATGGATACGCGCCTACGGATACGTGTATCAAAGTTTGACGAATAAAATGCAACAGTACTGTGACTCCACTATTCGTAACTTAACGTGTTTTCGGTTACGTTTCGGGACATTTGGTACAAATGGATACGCGTCGACTGTGTAGGCAGATTGAGACCCTTGGAGACCAATGACGACTCCTGGGGAGTAGGCATATTGAGACCCCGGCATCAAGTCACAAAAATTTTAAAGGCGTGTTACTACCTCATGAGTAGGTAGATTGAGACATCATTGTAGTCATACTTTCTTGAAAATGGCTTCAAAATCGAAGTCGAAACGTCGAACAACTGAAAACACCAAACGCATTTCAACCGGGACTCCAGATTATTAGATTGCTGGCCGCGGAAACCTATCTGAACACACGCAATCACTAACACACTATCAAGTGATGGTTTCGGAGAGTTTGCACATCATCAGTGTGAAGAAAATCATCCGAGCTGTCTGCTATCAAGTTCACTTATATTTTTTGTTCTAAAAACTGTTTGATTCCGAAGTGATCACATAAATAAATTAAAGGACAACCTGAAGAAACCCGCATGAAAGTATAAAATGGAAACCTAATTATCATGAATTATATACGATTTCAGAGAGGATGCTGCTTTTGAAAACTTTACTCTTCGGTCACCAAATTATTTCCGTAGCAAATATTCAGGATGCTACATCAACCGAGTTTTTGAAAGCCCAACATAATCATATTGGGGTGATTTTAGACGGAGATTGCAATGTTGGGATTACCAGCGATTTTTTGAAACAGGTAAGTTGGTAATGAATTTTGATTTCTGGTTACAATAGTAGTACAAACTACAATAACGTAGTTTAAGTTTGCATTTCCAAAATCTATATTAATGCCAAAATAATCGCACTATATAATCGTGCTTTTTTGTGTCTGTGTTTGTACATTCATACGGAACTCAGTCTAACCTCAAATTAACTGCTAATTCTCATGAGAAAGTACATAGACATAACAACTAGTTGCCTGCATTCAATGATGAGTTCGAAAATTAGAATTGAATTAATTTTACAAAAGTATCTATAAAACTGTTGAAGGGTTCATTCATTCTTGAAGATCAGAAATGAAAGTTCATTTACTTTCCACTTCTGATCCATTCTTCTAACACACTATTACATGTGCTGTATCTTTCAGATGCATAGTGCAAATTTCGTAATCTTGTATGAAAGTCATAAAAATCATGAAATTATTCGAGGGTATTGGATGAAATTCAAAAATTCTGATATATTCAACAAAGAATTGATCAAAACATAATAAAATTGAATGCTATTCCAGAACCATATATGAAATTAACATTTTTCATCGGTTGAAGAAACAGTTCAAAAACAAAAAAATATCTAAATTGGAAGGGTTATATTTTCAGGAGTGACTAATTTTTGGGAAAAAAAGTTTTTGGCTTTCTTGATACAAAAAATGTGGGAATCTACCAAAGAAAGAAAGTGAAATTTTTCACCTTTCATCTAGTGCAGAAATCCTGTGAAAATATCTGATTTTATTCCGTAACGAATGTTTGGAATACAAACTAAGTAGAGAAAAGTATACATAAAAGTATTTGTTTCGAAATAATTTTTATTTCTTGTAATTCACTGTTTATATGAAAGTAGCTGTTTAAGGAGAGCTTTTTCTTCCAGTTTGTGTCTGAAAGTTACTTCTTTGCATGATCTACACGTCTATTTATATAGTTAGAAGAATCAATTTCTGACATAGTGTAAGGGTTCTTATTATTCATTATAAGTGTGTATATGTTTTCTAGTGTGGGTCCAATAGACTCTTCTCCGTCAAACATCACTGGTTAATAATGACCTCAAATGAAACTTTCTTCGAGATTTTTAAAAACGTCGAACTTTATATTAATGCCGATATTCACGTCGCTCATTCCTCAAAGGCAAATAACTCCTACCCCATAGAAGATGTATTCAACCCTGCCTATGGAAAAGGTGGAGAGTTGAAAAGGCGAATTATTGGTTATTACAGTCGGGAAAGTGGGTATTCAGCAAGACAAAAGGAAAGAAAATACTGGTTGAGGAGAAACATGACCGGAGTAACTTTGAAATCACGTATTGTCGTAAGTTACTTCTGGAAGATCTTTGCTTCATTAGTTGAAACATTTTTTTCAGTTGCCTGTCCCCTTCAAAGGAACATTAATGGAGTATTTGAATAGTGAAATCCACAGAGAAGTAAACACTTTCAACAGGTTTCATTATAGCCTGATGTCTCCATGTGTGAACTATTACAATTTTACGTGAGTGTATTCGAAGAATGTTCAATTGAACTCATCATTCCATCTTTGGGATTCATACGTGCTTTCTGTAATAGGATTCGTTCGGTGAACTGATTGGGTGAAAGTCATTTTTTGCGAGGAAAACAGAGTTTGTGTTACCTTTTTGTAGTATTTTCATGTTCCGCAGACCGAAAAGAATTGAAGTTATAATTTTACACAGGACTAAAGAAAACAACAGTCCAACTGATGGAGCAACCGTATAGCAAAACGCATATTAAAGAAAATTCATTGTGAAAAATCCATAATTATTACACAAGCTAATAAATAGGAAAACAAAATTGCGACTAATATTATAATGACTATACATAAGAGTTTAAATCATTCTGACTGCGACTTCAATATCAAACATTTTTCATCACGTAAAGATTTCGAGTTATAGTTATTTTTGTTTTATACAAAAATTTTTCACATATTATAGGGAAATATGAGATCAAAACAAGACAAAAACAATATATTTTGAGGATAACAGACTTTATTTACAATACACATGAAAAACATTGAAATGAAGTCTCTTGTGCACAACCTTTTTGCAAATGTTGACTTTGGTTTATATGAATATTACTGGAGTTTTTTCCCAACACCAAATCGTTATTTTTAACACCTCGACACGTGTTTCGATCACCAAGTGATCATCTTCAAAGAGGAAGATTAAAACTAAGGACTAGTGCGAGCTAATCCTATTTATGCTAAAAGGTAACTCATACAGGTATACCATCCAGGCATACCAACCTAAATTAATTTTACAATTTTGCCGTATCTATTATTTTACAATATTTGTTTATATAAAACAATTTTCAGCTATATAAAAATTAATTTCACAATATTGCCTATCCAAATTTATTTTTGCAATGTGTCCTTATGTAGTAGGTAATCAGTAAACCCAACAACATTATTTTATTTTACTTTAACAAGCTATATAGGTATAGGTCCGTCATCGTTATTCATAATATTATTGTGTTTACTTATTTCTACACTCTCATAGGCATCTAGTTGCCTGTTGTTGTTAACTTGTCTAACTAATCTTAATGAACTGAAGTCTATGGAATGGTTTTGTTGCAAAATATGATGGGCGACTGCTGATTTTTCAGTTCTTCCATATTTTAAGTGTGCTATGTGTTCCTTATATCTTACTTTAATAGATTTTTTCGTCTGTCCATAATATTTTGCATCGTAGTCCTTACATTTAATTTCGTAAATTCCAGACTTTTCCGAATTCTCGACTTTGTCTTTTGGACTTCCCAAAAGGCTCTGTAGTGTATGACTTGTTTTAAAAACCACCTCCATATCTAATTCATTAAAAATCTTTCCAAAGTTCCTCGTATATTGGTGGTATGGAACTGAGATGTATTTATCTTGGTTTTTGTCCTTTCTGAAAGTCGAGATTTCGTTCATTCTTAACCTAAACTTCTTTTTCCTAATTATGTCATCTACAATACCCCTCGGGAAACCGTTAGTGGCTGCTATTTCCTGTATTGTACGTTTTTCTTTTGTGAACCTATCATGTGTTAGAGGGAAAGTCAAAAGACGATGCACCAAAAAATTCAACCCAGCACGTTTGTGCTGTCCACAGTGATGTGAACTGTCAGGAATATACCTGTACGTGCTTGTTTCTTTTCTAAATATATCGTATTCTAACCCTCCATATTGGCTCCTCATTACCAAAACGTCAAGAAATGGTAGTTGTTCTTTATTTCCTAACTCATATGTAAATTTTATTGATGGACATCTATTATTTAAAATGGAAACAAAGTCGTCAATATTCGATTTTTTGGTATGGAATATCGGGAAAATATCATCCACATACCTTAGCCAAATCCTAGGAAAATACTTCGACTTTTCTTTGGTTTCCATTTCGAATCTGCTCATGAACCGGTCTGCCAGGTAGGGAGACAAGGGCTTTCCCATGGCCGTTCCTTCCTGTTGTTCATAAAAGCAACCTTCTACCTGGAACCGATTTTGTTTCATACACAAATTAGTAAGAAAAACAAATCAATCGATTTCGTTATTATTGAAATTATTTTTCTCTAGTAATTCCCTGAGGTAGTGCAAGGTCTGTGGAAATGGGACGCTAGGTTTATATGTTTGTTTTCCCTCATAAGGAACCAACAATAATCCCCCATCATTGCTGCATCCTATCTGCCTTGGTAACGTTGCTCCGTTGTCAGTATATCTTGATGGAACCTTTTCCCTTGTTCGTCACTGACACCACCCAAATTTTCTGGTAAAAATTCAAATGGGCGTGCAAGAAATGGATTTTGAGAGACATGTGACATTCCATTCTGCAGTAGTTTTCAAGTAGTTCTTCTACAAGTGTTTCGTGATTTTCTATTTTCTTGTTCCCTAAAAATCCCGAAACAACTTTTTTGAAAGAACTGCACGCAGCTAATTCAATATTACTTAATTTTTGATCAACCTGTTGATCACTTAGTAATTTTCTAATTTGTGGTCCAATAATTCTTCTTTCCTTGAGTTTGGCATCACTTAATTTTGGAAAAACGTGTTTAGGATATTCAAACGCATCACATTCTTTAGATATATGATGGAATTGCTTTTACAAAATTTTTCATTAACCCCAGTTTGATGTGTAATGGAGGAAACAAAACGTTTTTGGGATTGACAAGAGGTATATTCTTCACGTTAGCTTGATCTGGAATATATTTATCTCTTGGATGCCATTCTTTCACTTGATAATGGCTCTGTGTTGCCCTACTATTCCGAAGGCAAAGAAAACAACAAAACTTTGTGAATCCGCCCTGAAAACCTAGTAATAGTCCTACGACTTTTAGGTCACCACTTATACGTATTATAATTTATTGCATTTTGAATAAGTGACATACTTTCGTGTGTTTCCTTCATGGCACCTGCATGTGGAAGAGAAATGGAGAGCTGTTCTGGAGCAGAACAGCTTTTAAACTTGTTTTAGAAGAATCTATAAATAAACGCCATTCGTCCGGGTTATATGCAAATCCTAATTTTTCCATCACACCATTTGGATTTACACAAACACACATTTTATCCTGCATAGAAAAAAACGATGATAGCTCATGAATACGGTTCCTAAATATTGTAACTTTGTTTTTAGGGGCTAGTAAATTCCATTGTTGTCATCTAGACCCTAATAGTTCAGCATTCTCTTTGGATAAGTGGAGGTCCTGAACTAGGTCATTTAATTCAGGTTGTTCGGGAAAATAAGGGCCGTCTTTTTCTGGCACATCATGGGAACCTGCCTGGTCATCATATATTTCCAAATCATTCTCCCAATTTGCCGGAGGTGTTAGAACTGGTAAACCTTCTCCTTGAAGAACCGGCCTTCTTGCAGAAGGAATGTCCGGATATACAATTTTGTGTTTGCTCTTTCTTGAAAAACTAGACACGTTCGTCATGCAAAAGTAACACTCGCTGTAATGGTTTGTTGTTTCTCTCCAAATCATTGGAACTGCAAAGGGCATAGAAGGGCGTTTGCCATTTAACTAGTTGCTTCGATTTGCTGCACAGGTTTGGCAACAAACGTGAGGAGCCCAATCCCGATTTTGATCACCAACAGCACATCCAAAATACTTATGATAAGCTACTTTGGTCATTTGAATAATTGGCCGTTTCTGCGATACAGGAGTAAACTGACCACATAAATAGCAAAAACAATCTGCGGGATTAACGTAGCCAGGTTTCTGTACTTTGGACATTTTTGTACGTCGAGTTCGAATATGTGATACTGCGTTTACAGGAGTTAACTTATTTTATTCACAAAGAAAACACTAATATAATACTCTTAATATTCACGTGTTTGCTCACCTCGCTTCTCTGATACTGATTTACCACTATTCGTGTTAAACTTTTATAGCGGTTCCGTATTTCTGGTATTTTCTGGAAACTTCGAGTACCGGAAGTTCGAGAAGCGGCGTTATAAGTTTCATATACAGCGGAAGCTGATTCGTGAACTGGGCAGAGCCGCTTTGTTGCCAGATTTTAAACAATTTCCTCAATTAAGGCGAAAAGCAAATTTGGAATGTCATGTTCATAACATTTTTATGAAAAAAAAAAAACATAACTCAAAAATCTTACGTGTAAGGACATTTTTACTATCATTTTTGTATTTAGGGACCAAAAATTAACAAAGAACTGCCTCTAGCATCACAGTGTAAACTAGTGATCATAGATAGAGTTAGTGACTTTCATCAACCAACGGTCATAAAAAAAACGAATCAAATTAAAAGAACTGATCTTGTTAATCTGGCCTTGAATTATTTTTTCATACACGGAAAATAACTGAAGGGGAGCTGTGTCAAAGCTTTTTTTTGAGTTTGTTGATCATGGTTTGTCGGTTTCATTGCTGGTAATTTAAAAGTCGCCACCACAGAATAGCTCCATCACCAACAAAGAAGGGGATTATTCAAAACGTTAGGTGAGACGGTCCAAGGACCTTGAACATTTGAAGAGTTTCCTTAGAGAAAACTAGTGTAGCGAAACTGGAATGAAATGGGCAGTACTACCCAAGAAAGATACCACCAAAGTAACGGAAGGTGAGCTCATCAAGGGATGAGCTTTTCTGATCTTTATCAAAAAATATTTGGCTGTATTGGTGTTGGGATAATTTTTTTTAAAGATCTCTCCGAAAATTATACCCTTTTCAAGTGAAATCGATATTCAAACTGATAAAATCCACTAGAGAGTGTCTGAGGTCAGAAAGCTTATAGCGATATCGGGAATATACCGATATAGCTGCAAGAGATTCAGGACGAATCACATAAGAAATTGTCTTCTCGAGCATACTGTTGAATAAGCAGTAACCTAACGACGATGTCTAACAGGCCTTCTTACAGGTCACTGTCATTTGAATCATCATATGCAGAGACTCGGACTGTCGGAAGACAGTATGTGTCGCCTCTGTTTGGAAAATGATGAAACAGCAGAACATATACGTTGTGCCTGCCTCTCTGGATACATAATCAGGTTTTAGAGTTCGGCAGAGCCGTGCTCTTACCATCTGACCTGTGAGACCACTCACCATAGAAACTAATCGGCTTCTTTGAGAAGCTGGGTTTATTTGGTCGAGTGTGAATAGGTATGAGCCATAACAAACCCGTGCGGGTTGCGGTGGAGGGTCGAATAGACTCACTCAGTTTGAACCTAACCTAACCTAATGCAACATGTACTTACAGAAGGTGGTCAAGTTATTGCGTTCGAATGTGCTTCATAGAATTCTGAGCTACTATCTAATATTATATAGGAAGGTGATAGAAATTCAAAAACACACGAAAACAAGGACAGGGAGAGGCAATTAAGATAAACGACGATTGGCTACCCTCATAGCGGAAACAAAGCCTACCCATCACCTATGGAATTGTCTTCAAAATTGTAGTACCATTTGAGTTTTTAAAAACCGCACTTGTTCTACTCTGTTGTGTTGACCTCCTGATCACATTGCCTGAGTACAACAATAGGTCTTTGCTGAAATGTAGATTCTGCTCATGTGAGACTCTAAAGGTCTCTAGCGACCTCGAAGAACCCCCTGGTCACCACCCACTCCCTTGTTCTTCCACAAGGACGCTAGTTAAATTATATTATTTCTGCTGGCCTGAACCTCCTATCCATGAAAAAAGCCTACCTCTCAGGGATTGCCAATGGAGGGACGGTTCTGGAATATTGACCTATTGATCTCGACAATTGAGATAATGACGTTGAGGCCTGCTGTCTATTTTATAAGCATTTATTTTGATGATTTCAAAACAACTCATTACTGTATTGTGCATTTCGGACTGTCTTCAATATCTTTGGTTGTACACTACTAAAACACCGAATTGAAGGACCTGATCGTAATCGTAGCAACTCCCTGAGGTCCAGCTGGGGGTATCCATCGCCTGTGAAGACGATCCCATCTTGGGAGTTGTTTACTGCCTACATATCGTCCAGAAATGTGTTTCTTCGAACTAAACTACTCCGGTGTGTCCTTTTGTACACTTTTGTTTAGATCTCTAGAATGCTTCAAAATTATATTAGTAATCGTAGTTGCTTGTCCAGACATTTCATCAACAGGTTCTGGAGAGACAGGAATAACATAGATGTTTGTTGCGTTTTTTATATCCTTGCGTATGTTGACGGAATTGGTGCTTTGCTTATTTGGAATGGTTTCTTTGTGATCACGCTAGAAGCATCTAGGATTTCGAATGCCAGATTGATAAGTTTGGGGGGAGATCGCCTCGAACTTACGATTCCCAGAGAAGTTCTGGGAATGGTGCGTCCTTGAAGTACCGTCTCGTTATGGATCAATGCATTTATTTGAGAAGCATTCATTTGGGATCAGTTTTTTAAAATAGAAAGTATATATCAATGACAATACAAAAAACTGGGTCGATAATTGACGAAAGCGTCGAAGGGCCACACAAAAATATTTTTTTCGATTTGTATAATTCTGACTTTCCTCTCAGAATTCTGAGTTGCAAGTCAGAATTCTGACTTGAATCTCAGAATTCTGACTTTTAAGTAAGAATTCTGAGATGAAAGTCAGAATTATACAAGAAGGGCCATACAAAAATATATTTTTCGATTTGTATAATTCTGTACGAAAGCGATTTGTATAATTCTGAGATACGAGTCAGAATTCCGACTTACAAGTCAGAATTCTGAAATACAAGTCAGAATTCTGAGATACAAGTCAGAATTCTGACATACAAGTCAGAATTCTGAGATTCAAGTCAGAATTCCGACTTGCAACTCAGAATTCTGAGATGAAAGTCAGAATTATATAAGAAGGGCCACACAAAAATATATTTTTCGATTTGTATAATTCTGACCTGTATCTCAGCATTCTGAGTTGCAAGTCAGAATTCTGACTTGTATCTCAGAATTCTGACTTGCAAGTCGGAATTCTAACTTGTAAGTCAGAATTCTGACTTGTATCTCAGAATTCTGACTTGCAAGTCAAAATTCTGACTTTTATTTCAGAATTCTGATTTGTATCTCAGAATTCTAACTTGTAAGTGACTTGTGTGTGCCAGTCTTCACTTACCTACACAGAAGTTCAATGAAGTGAGATCGTCAGAACATAACTACTCCCCTGGCTAATACTACGAAAGGCGTGGGATTGTATCCGATAGGTGTCAGTGCAGGATTCTTCGCAGAAGAAATGTCTGCATATGTTTTTGGCGATACCGCAATTGTATCTCCAGTTATATCGAAAGAAGCGATTCAAACAATGAGAAAAATTTCATAATCTTCATATTTTGATAAATGCAAAAAACTGCCTTATAATACTGAATATATCATTATTATTCCCTGAGATACAAGTCAGAATTCTGACTTGTATCTCAGAATTCTGACTTTGTAGTCGACTAGCTTTATGCCTGTATCGTTGTCCGAGTTGATCTGTTATTCAACAGATAAAACGTCCTACCATAGTGTTTATTGTAGTATTTTGAATCAGTATTTATTACAGTATGTCGTTCTGGGTAGGATGCCAATCATCACTCTCAAAAAAACATTTAGTTCTGTATTTGAGTTTGAAAGTGTAGGTATAAATTAATATTTTTCATTTATACTGTAAACCATTGAATATCTTATTAACAAATGTGCTTTTCGATTATTGATTTCTTAGTGATGCCGACCTAGAAAGCGATATTTTTTGAAAATGAACCAATAAAACTACAATGGAAAATCCTCAAAACATTACGAGGGGGACATGCTGAATAGCCAGTTTAATTTTCATTTACAAGGTGATCAATGGAAAAGTTAACTGTATTAAATTTTTATCTAAGCTATCTCCTAATTTGAAAAAAATAATACAACGTTCTTTATGTTTCTCCAANTATAATTCTGACCTGTATCTCAGCATTCTGAGTTGCAAGTCAGAATTCTGACTTGTATCTCAGAATTCTGACTTGCAAGTCGGAATTCTAACTTGTAAGTCAGAATTCTGACTTGTATCTCAGAATTCTGATTTGCAAGTCAGAATTCTGACTTGTATCTCAGAATTCTGACTTGCAACTCAGAACTATACAAATCGAAAAAAATATTTTTGTGTGGCCCTTCAACGCTTTCGTAATAATTACATTAGTATGACATTGAAAAAGTTATTCGTTCTTAGAAAACTGAACCCTAAACCCATGAACGCCAATAATGAAGCGAAAAAAGTACGAAAAATTAATTATAAAAATAACACAAAACCTTTGTGGGATGTAGTCTCAGGATTGATGAATGAAAAGGGATAAATTTCACTATTGGTGAATTTCAAAACTGAAAAACAGGAGCGTATCACGTATTACTCCTGGAAGACCTTATGCAACCGGAGAAATCAACCAGAGACCACTCAAAAAAAATTAAGAAACTGCAGTCCTGTCTGATTCAACGTATTACTCCGTACAACTTCATAAAGAGGTCGTTGAGATCTATCAGTATCTCAAACATTTTTACAGAAATGAAGAAAGTATGCAGGCCCACAGAACATGGTATCTAGAAATGAACGAGAATACTGTCTTATCGACATTCAACTACGTGGACGAATCAGAATAACTTAGCAAAAGAGCAAGACCAATCAGAAGTGAGGATTAGCACCCTACCACTATTCCCACTTTCACCCCCAGCATCCTCTGAAATTATAAATCCGAGCGAATATGGAGCTCGCCAGTCGTTCATTGCTGGGACTTTGCCTTCGCCCTCGCAGCCAATGCATCTCCAACTGATGATGTCTGTATCAGTAGCATACGAAACGTCTGAAACTACAAATTTCATTCAACCATGGACTACCAGCACGGATTTTTTTCTCTTTAATAGTGATCCCAGCCTTGGGAGTCTCTTTCTATAATAAAAATACAATATTTCATTGAAAGGTTAGGTTGTTCGGAGCCAACTGTATAAATAGAAAGCAGTCTAGGTTCCAACTTGGTTGGAAAACTGTATGTCTAGAAAAGGTTTTCACCGATCTATGTGAGAATTACTTTTATTCAGGGTGAATCAATGGAACAATTCATGCTATCAAAATGTTTTTTTTGGTTCTATATTTGTGTTTGCCTTCATGGGGAGTGAACAATCTGAAGATAATGAGTAGTTATTTCAGACCTGACGTCTCTTTGACTGAATCTTGGGGTTATTTAACAGAAAATGGAAAATTTGATGGTTTGGTGGGAGCTTTAAGTGAGCAGTCAGTGGATTATGGGAGTTCACCATTATTTGTTAGAACAGATAGAGCTACAGTCATGGAATATGGAAGAAGAACTTGGACGTTAAGGTTAGTAGATACATTTTATCTTGTCGACTAGTTTGATAGAATTCATTAGAAAGTTTTCTTTTTATAATATCGATTTACCTACCTAGATATGAACATGCATAATTTTAGTTTTCACTGTGGTAAAGGTTGGATATTTTGTAAATTAGCAACTGTGTTGAAAATCAATCCCCTGAAATGAGGACAATATCGACAAAATTATTTTACCTGAAATGGGTTTGTTGGTCTGTCGTCTATAAACAGGTGTTCATTCATATGACGTAATTGTGACGCCAACCAATCAGAAAGTGTTGTGTATACTTTTTTGCTTCAGAGCGGCCTTCATATTCCGGATACCAGAAACTAAGAACTCTATTGATGTTTTCATTAGACCATTGTCACTATCAATTTGGTTATTGACCATTTTTTCTTTCATACTTGTGGTACTGCTTCTTAGATTTGCTCAATTGCATGAAAAGAGGAATATGAATAGGATTACTGACACAACTTGGAGTTATTTTGTATTGTGTGCTGTCGGAGCTTTCTGCCAACAAGGTTAGTATTTGTAGTTCAAGAGAAATTAATGAATGAAGGTGGTTGTATTCGTAGATCAAAATAGAGAGATGAAAAGATCATGAAAAACGCCATATTATTAGGATGCATGCCATATAAATCATAAATTTCAACAGGAACAAGAATTGACAATCATTTTTCAAGAATTAGCAAAATGTCGGTTATTTGAATGATAAATACATTCCAGAACTTAGAAGACATTTGATATACCTTCTCTATTCATATTACACATGTTTCATTCAGAATGATCCAAAAATCTCTTTTTGTACAACTGTCATTTAAAGTGACATTTTTAATGGTTGCCAAGAGTATTGAAAGATGATGTTTACAAAGTAGCACGTTAAACATATTTTTAACAATAGTGTTAAAAGTATTTTTAACACGATTTTTTCGACCGAATAGCAATAAACAAAACATAATTATTCAATTTTCAAAGAAGTTTCATTATGAACAATTGATATAGATACAATTAAATTCTATTACAAATGTATTATATACAATAAATTCCTTATTATTATTGATGAACATTAATATGAAAAGTACAATAAGAACAACTGCTGATATTGATACCATGCGATGTTGAAGAATCTTTTGATATATTTGAACTATCTGAGTTGACAGTTTCATGGGCATTAACATTCAATTCTTAAAGTGAAGAGGACGATGCTGTAACGCTGGAGCTAGCTCTTGGGATTATTCTTTCAGCAATTGCCTTTTTATAAGAAATAGATTGATCGAAGTAACCCTCAGCTACTGTTGTAGAATTCCATCCTTCATGCTTCTTAATATCCGTTATATTTGCTAACAGAAGGTGTTTATACCAACTGGGTTGGCACTGCATTCATAATTTGAGTATTTCAGAAAAAAAACATTGATGCTTGATAACATATGTCGTACTGCTGAGCCGATTTTTTTGGTAATAATTCCATTGAAGCTCGTCAGGAAACACACAATTCCTCACTATTGTTCTTTATTAGGCAAGAAATTAAACACCAGCAAGAACTTTGAATGTGAGTTTAAATAAAACGCGTGAGCTGTAAACAATACTGTTTGTTGGTAACCATGTGATTTAGTCAGTCATCAGTCAGCTGACAAGAGATTTCAAAATGTGTTTTTATAGAAATATTGAATTCATCAATTTTATTATGGAAATAAAACAGTTATACAAAAAACTTTGTATGATATTTATGTAAAAAGTAAGTTTTATTTTATTCGTGAAATTGCTCAACTCGCTACACTCGTTTCGCAAACCAGTCACAAAATATAACCTTACTTTCAACACTCATATCATACATAGCTATTTAGGGTAATCTCCTTGCCAAAATGAGTAGAGTAAGTAGTTTGATTTGAATAATACTTAGATGTTTACAGTTTCAGAGTGAATTGAATGGATTGAAACTTGGGAATTCAGTTGTTGGTGTAGTGCTAGTGTTGTTTCTACCCGAATAAAAGTTGTTACAGATTATATCGAAAAAAGTAACATTTGACAGCGCACACAAAGTGCGACATTTCGTGCCAAGAAGTTGGCAATACAAGCTGATGGTTGACATTGACAAACCTTGAATTCATGTATCAAAACTTACCAAAAATCCTGTGAAAATGCTCTTCAACTCTTTTGGTACTTTATCTGATGTAAGTGCTCGCTCACAGCTGAGAGGTGAATACTTCAGCCCAGAGCCCAGACACGATGAATTTATGATACAAAACCAGGCAGCGCTGTATCATCTCGTCATAGGTCTGATCAGTGGTGCTAAGCTGAATCACAAACAAACTGCGGGACCCAAGGGTCCTTGAAGGACAACGTTTCTTGAGTGAATAAGGGCAATGTATTTACAGTTCAGCCTAGATCCACTAATGAGACCTAGGGCAGGTCGAAACAGTTCTCTCTAGTGTTGGATCATTGTGGTTTTCAACTAGTTTCCTTGCAGTGTAGGACAGAGGACGAATCTCAGCGGCTCTCGATTTTGATGTCTCTGTATATCCGTAGAGTATGGAGGGTGAGTGTAGGCCCACAGCACTTAGGCCACATGTGACCCATTGTACATCGTCCCGAGGAGTTGTCCTCTTAGGTCATCGTCCATCCTGTGGACAGGTGGACAGGTCACTGGGAGACATCTCCTTTATATCGGCAGGTGTAAGCCAAGACTCGCCGAACACACACTCTCTTATTGACGATAACTCCGGGCACTCGCACAGGATATGCCTGACAGTCTCATCTTCCTGTTCACACATCCTGCATAGAGGTGTGTCCACTAGCCCCATATTATGGAGGTGTTTCCTCAGTTGACAGTGGCCAGTCAGAAATCCTACTGTTAAGCGTAGATTTTTCCTGGTCATCGCCAGATATTTCTTCGGCGCCAGCTTCCCAGGGTCGTCCAAGGTGAACCTGGCAAGATTACATCCATTGATTCCATCACCTCTCTTTAAGGATTGAGCATGGGTGTAACATTCAACTAGTTCCGCAATTGTCGAAGTCATCAGGCCGTAGGTGCCACTGGGTCCTAAAATTCTTAGTCCAGCTGCTTCCTTGGCTTAAGAGTGGTCAATACGATTACCTTTACTCCTATCGTGCCCTTTAATTCACCTCAGGATAATGTTATTATCTACCGAGGCTTTGGGTAGATCTTGGTGGCACTCTAGTACTAGCCCTGAGGTAACACGTTGTCTGTTCAAGACTAATAGGGCTTGTCTGCTGTCAGTGCAGACATTGCCAGAAATTCCTTTCTTGGTTATTTCTTTTGTGGCGATTGAGATACCAGCCTCTTGATGTTGATATTCAAGGAATCAGTTGTCTGCCGGTCTTATAGATGGCGTTTTCCTATTCGCTATTCAAATTTCGATTTTATTATCAATTGCCCTGTCACATCCATGTTATTTGAATCTTTTGGGGATCTGGATGAAATCTTCTTCTGGCAGTAGCACTGCACTGCAAAAACACTACTCACAACTGTATATGGTCTTCCAAAAGGCGTTTTCGAACTTTGACAATTTATAGCGGCCATCTTAGTGAAGCTACATCTGTCAAATTAGTTGTCATTTATTCAGTCTGTTTTAAAAAATGACCGTGGACGGATTGAGCATTCAACAACACGTTCAAATAATAAAATTGTTTTATCAAAATGGCTGTTAGGTTCGGGCAGGAGAATCCGAGGAAGAATCCGATTTCACGTCGCTCACAAGAACTCGACCTTTCACAGATTACAATTTGACGAATTTTGCGTCATGACTACGTCCTGAATCCATACAAAAGCAACTGACTTATGAATTGAACTGACTCTAATTTTCATCAAAAAATCATCTTCAGCGATGAGGTCCATTTCTGGATGAATGGTTACGTGAACAAACAAAATTGTCGAATTTGGGACGATACTAATCCACATGAGATCTAAGAGCGTCCAATGCATCCCGAAAAAGTCACTGTTTGGTGTGGATTTTGGGCTGGCGGCGTCATCTGTCCATATTTCGTTGGGAACGCTAATGGCCAGGTCATCACTATTTTGGCCTGAATTGGATGATCTGAATACCAACGACATGTGGTTTCAACAGGATAGCGCCACGTGCCACACAGCTCAGGCCACATTGGATATTCTGCGGAGCGATATGAGAGGGCATGGTCTTCTCACGTGCAGGTGATGTGAACTGGCCACCAAAATCGTGCGATTTGACCCTGTTAGACTTTTTCTTGTGGAGTTTAGGTTTCAGGTGTATGCGAATGGGTTATTAACCATAGCGGTACTCGAAACAAACTTAACCCATGCCATCGGTCAAGTTCAGCCTGATTTATGTGCCAGAGTCATAGAAAATTAGACGTTTCGGATGCGCTCCACCTAGAAAAGCCGTGGCGGATATGTGAATGATGATATATTCCACACATAATGGTGTTAATAGATCTTTCAAACGAATGAAAAATATATGATGGAATTGGCTGATCCTTGATGAAAATCCATAACTAACATATTCAAAAAACATTTTTTCGTGAGAGTTTCACTAAACAATTTTCCAAAAACGCAACACGTGTTTCGCCATACAGTGGCTTCTTCAGGCGTGTCTTTACTAAAGACACGTGTCTTCACACGCCGGGCGTGTCTTTACTAAATACACGTGTCTTTACTAAAGACACGCCGGAAGAAGACATTGTATGGCGAAACACGTGTTGCATTTTCATAAAATCGTTTAGTGAAAATCTCACAATAAAGTGTTTTTTCAATACGAATGAAAAATTTTGATGATATATGTTGTGGAATTGGCCGCGGTGGTAGTGCGCCCGACTCACGATCCGAAGACCGTGGGTTCGATTCCTGCCTGGACCAGATATTTTTCTCGAGATAATTCATCTGGTTGAAGCTGGGATGATTCTGCAACCGTCTTAGGAGTCATCCGTTAAAAGGTAAGACCTCGTTAGTCCTTAGCTCTCACAAGTTTCCCAACTTCTGAGAGTTGTCGTTCGTATGGGGGCGATAGCTGATTAACGGAAAAACAGATTTTAAACAGATTTTAAACAGATATCAAATTATTCAAATTGAAATGAAATAGAAGACCCCATACAATAATCTTCTGATACTGGATGAATTCGCTCATCAGCCAGTACTTGAAATAATGGGGTTCAAACCTCTAGAACAACCTTCGCGACCACTATTCATTCTCCTTTCATGGGTATACAGTGCCGGATTCGCCAGCTTGACTCAGTTGTAACAAAACTTTTGAAATGAATATCATTACGCTCGATAAAATGGAATTTCGTTCAAATAGTATGGTTAGTTAAGAAATTATTATTTTTTCAGGAATGACAGTTACCCCGTCTTCTTATTCTGGCCGCATCATTATAATGTCTATGCTCACTCTCTCGATAATGATTTACCAGTTTTATTCTGCGAGTCTTGTATCACATTTTCTGATGAAACCAGAAACTCAAATAAAATCCATTGAAGACATTTTGAAATCTGACATGAAGGTTGGATGTGAGGATATCCTGTACAACAGAGACTATTTCTTGGTAAGTTCAGGAGGTTTTCAAAATTTGTATTTTTTAATAATACTGAGGATAAATATTATTTTCAATTCATTAAAGTCTTTTGTATGAAAGAATGTACACATTTTTGGGATTAACATGTCCGTTGTTTTTGGGCTTGAATTCTATCTATTGACAAATTATTTCTTATATTTTGAGTGGAAAGAAAACAATGAAATGATTATACAGCTGAAAAAGCTAATGCGCCACTGGAATTATAATAAAGTCGCCCCGGAGCGCCAATTAATTTTATTGTTGTTTTATAATTTCATGATTTGTATTTTGGATGTCCTAATAAATTATACGTTATTCTGTACATTTTTGTAGGGCGATATAGTTGATCTGGGCCTTAGAAATTAAGATATATTTAAAGCTAATTCAAATGATTAATACTCACAAGGGTGATTTCAAGACTTTCGAATGCGAAAAGTATTTCAAATTAAGCTACTCCACGACGCGATGTTTAGATTGACTATCATCGTTGGCTGATATTTGGCCTATTTATGATATTTCGCGAATATTCATTACTGTTTCTGGGGTGTTTAACCTTTCGAAATATGGTAAAAAAACAAAGCTGAATCAATAGAGAATCTGCTCGAGTTACTAAGTGATTTACTGAAAATTCCAAATAATCACAAAGTTCACCACTACTTAGAATGAATGTAATGAGGTTACATTGATTTACTGGTATTGAAGTTCAGAAAACACTTATATACAGGGCTTTCCATTGGACCTACGAATCGAGATTCACTTTGTTTCAAAAAATCTGTTCAAAATCTTTTTTCCGTTAATCAACTGTCGCACCTCTACGAACGACAACCCTCAGAAGTCGAAACTTGTGCGAGCTGAGGATTAACGAGGTCTTACTTTTCAAAGTGTGATTCTTAATACGGGTTGGACGGTAGCAAGTGAAAATCGGTCGTTCAGACTAGGGCTTGAACCACCGGCCAACACGGCAGTCAATTCGAGTGAGTGAACAAAGCACCCACGACGAACCGCTTGGCTACCGACCGACCACTTTGTTTGTTGGAGAAATTATTCAGTCATTTTACGGCAATGCTAATTTTTACAAAATAATCAACAAATTCGACATATGTACTGTAGCAATAATCTATAACTTCCAGTTGAATGTGGGGACATTTATAAATTACAATATATTCACAGTTTTAGTAAATGTGAAACGTGTTCTTCCTTACGAATCCGTAGAGAGTTGTCCTAAAAATCTAGAGAAGAAAATTGGAGTGGATAATTTAGGAAACACTTGTTACATGAATAGCATTTTACAAGTGTTGTTCATGACGAAGAATTTCAAGAACGAAGTTTTAATGATGAACGAGAACAACAATGTTTCCTGCTTATTCATCAAACTCAAACAACTGTTCATGCAGCTGCAGTTTCGTAAGAAGGTATCATCTTTCCCTCCAACCGATTTCCTGGAGTCTTTGAAGTCCACTAAATACTCGTTAGGACAACAAGAGGATTGTTCCGAATTCTTGGAGTTCTTGTTGAATACTCTTCGTGAGCAAAACAATAGCAAAATCAATACTCCCAGCCGCTCTGGGCTGAATGATTCCGTACAACCCATCTCGTCTTGTGTTTGTTAATCTTTTGCTGGAAAAATCCTCACTTGTTTACTTTGTGGTAAATGTTCAAGAAGTACTGAAAACTTATGAGAATTTCTGGAACTTCATCTAGCTTTTCCTAATACGACTAATTACCAGTCCGTGCAAAGCTTATTGTTAAATCATCTGAAAATGGAATTTTCAACAGGTGATGATCGACTGTATTGTCAAACATGCGCCAAACTAACTGACTGTTATAAGGAAACAAGTATAGCTGAGGCACCAGTCAATCTAATAATAACACTGATGATTTTCAAACAAGACTCAACCTCTAACGGAAGCAAGAAACTCTTTGGAAGGTTCGAAATAGATGAACATTACAACCTAGCAGACCACTGTAATAATATTCATGCAGTCATTGTTCACTGTGGTTCTGGCGTTGAATGTGGTCATTATTACGCCTTGGTCAAAGAAGAAACGGACTGGTTTAAGTTTGACGATAGTCGTGTCACGAAGTGTTCTGGCGATGCATTGAATTTATTGGAGCCTCTGGAGACACCCTACATTTTGTTTTATGAGAGAGAGGACATTGTTAGATCAAGATCTTCAGATTATGTGGTGCTGCAGGTTTTTCCGGGTTTTCCTGCAGCTGAAAAAGCAAATGCGCCACTGGAATCAATGAAGTCGCCCCGGAGCGCCAATTAATTTTTATTGTTGTATTTATTTTATTTTTATCGTTGTAATAATTTTATAAATATATTCCAAAGAAGAATTGAAAAGTTTTTAATCCACATTGTAAGTGTTTGCAGGTCTTAAAATTCTAACTATAGACTCACTCTGGCCATAGTTGGTATGATGAAAGGGAACTTTGAAGATTTCTGTATTTCTTGTTCTCTTCGGATTCACATTTAAAGTTATAAGATCAAAAAGTTCCGGGAAATTAACGCTTGAATTGAATTAATGCCGGGAATTGATTATTCTCTGAATTAGTGCAAGATCTGATTCTGATCTTCTATGGGCAAGAGTATTCAAGTTAACAATGTCCAAAATAATTTCATAGTTATATTCATCAAAATTTCATCCCAGTTCATATGCAGAGTACCTTGAACATTGTTTTGAATACTTTCAAGGATATCAATAATATCCGCATTATATGAGGGGCACCAAATTGTGGAGTTGTATTCGATTATTAATCTAGTAACAATATATAATTTTTAAAGAAGAGGGAGATAATTACTCTGCAAATCTAAGAGAGAAACCTTGATTGTCATTGCTCTAGAAGTAGCATTTGCAATATGCGGTTTGAATGACTTTTTTGGTACAAGAGTGATTCCTAAATCTTTGATTGTATTTGTTGTTTCCAGCTTCAATTGGTTGATTTTATATAGACTATTTATAGAATGTTTGTTTCGAAAAATTATGATATTTGTCTATATTCAATTGTAATAAGTTTATATCACATCAGTGTACAAAGTAAGTTAAAGCGTAGTGTAATAATTCAGTATCAGATGAGTCATGAATAACTTGCATATGCTCATGATCTTCAGATCATGAGCAAACAGAATAAATTCACTATAGAGTCATTTACAAATATATTGAAAAGTAATGGTTCTAAATGAGATCCCTGCGGTACACCAGATAGAACTGCAATTGAGGAAGATATTGAGTCACCATATTTTACATATTGGACTCTGCTGGTGAGATGATTTCGATCATCTCACAAGCACCTACCTAACACCTATCAGAAAACAACCACTCCTCTAGCTAATACCACGAGGGGCGTCACGAGTAGCCTAACAGCCCGAAACCGGTCTGCAAGTGTGTTCCAATAATTGAAAATCTATTGCGGCAGTTGTATCGTCAACACCAAATGCAGGAATAACTTCAATGAATAATCCTGCACTGACAGCTGTCCGATATAATCTAACACCCTTCGTGGTATCAGCCAGGGGAGTAGTTGTTTTCTTCAAGTATGCTCACTGACTATATGTGGAGTTTTTTTCCTTACAAAAGGAATTGGGCAAATTTCGGATATGCGGTTGGTTACCTCGTTCACAGGCAGATGGGGCGATGCCAAATCTGTTGTTTGTTGTCCGCTTCAGCCTAGTTCGAGGAATTATACTCTGAAAGAATTCGATTTTCAATTATCGGAAATCATCGACTTTATGTTGATGATAGACACTACCTTGCACTGACGAGTGGCCAAACAAACCGAAACCGGTCTGCAAGTGTGTTCCAATAATTGAAAATCTATTGCGGCAGTTGTATTGCCAACAGCATATAAGGAATAAGAAAATTGGTAACTATAAGAACCAAAGTAGCTTGGGTTGAAATAGGGACTGTAGTCAGGTATCAATTATGTAGGTATATTCATCCATCTATGTATTCAACATGCTCGGAATCGCACGTTGAAAGGTAAGACCTCGTTAATCCTCAAGTTTTGAATTTTGAGGGCTGATGTTCGTAAGGGGTGACAGCTGTTTTACGGAAAACTCATTCGGAACATAATTTTGAACAGATTCTCGTTTTCAGTATACTACAGATGAAGCCTCTAAAAAACTATATAGCAGAAAAATTCTGGGGCAGAAGAATAACTCGAATTTTTTGGAACCGAGGAAAGGCTTGGTCTTGGTTGAAGATGGAGGATACGCTTTTCATGTCGAACTAGCGACTGCATATCCCATCATTCAAAATACTTTCCCTGACAAATCAATTTGTGAACTGAAGGAGGTCCAAATGTACAGAACGCAGCCCATGCATGCAAATTATCAAAAACATTCGCCTTTTCGTGATATGCTCGATACATGGTGAGTTCATCAGCTATAGTTTTCATCAACAAAATCAATTTGAGAAATGATTCTGTTCACGAAGATGAAACTCAACAACCTAAACTTTATTGAATTGATTATTACGGGTTGCTATGAAAAAATTACTATTTCAAAATTATTCGCTGAGTCATTTATCAATTACTATTTGTTTTATTTCGATTTGGTGAATCAATTATTTTGCGTCATTTTTGTATGACTCAACTTCTACTTTGTCACGATCCTATTATAGTTTGTGTCACAAGATCGTTTATTTATTGGAACTTTTGTCCAACCAACTTTTTGAGAAATTTCAAGAGAGATTCGAAAAAATCTCAAAAGTTATAAAATACTTAGTAAAAAAGGGGGGGTTTCGTTTTTTGCAAATATCTCGGGAGATATTCAAGATATCCGAAATTTGAAAAAAGATCCTTAAAGAGGAGGAAATTTTGTTAAAAAAGTAAAACCTTCTTTTAAATTCATATTTTCTTTATTTATTCAATAAACAATTTGCTATGAACAAATAAATTTTTACGATATATTTTTTTAAACACTATAATACTGTCTCAACGACAGGAGAATGGACGATAGCTGCTTCCCTATTAGAGATACAAAAAAATGTTTTATGAAAAAGTTGTAGAGAATAATGAAACCTATGTTTGAATAGTTACAACTGATGTACAGGGTGTTTAATAAATGTGTGACGGATCAAACTAATGATTTTTCAAATAGAATACTCCAGATATTTTCACTCATTTGACTCTCTCGAGCAGAGTGCTTCTCAAAAATTATAAGATAAATTGAGTTTATACCGGTTGGTTCAGAATTTATAGTGAAATTTATATCAGAAAATGTTTCTTAATCGAATGGAATGAAATGAGGACATTTTTCAATCAAATATCCTGGAGAATAGTGTATCTTCATTTAGTCTTCATGAGTTGACCAAACGGCGCTTTTTATATACAGGGGTAAACAAAACTCGGAATCACTTTTTTCTCAGTTTTTTCAAATACAACACCCTATACATAGAGCTATCGGAATAGTCCACGCTATGAGCTTTCAGGAAGGATCGACTACTTTATTTCCATCGGAAATGTATCTAATCAAGTGAAAATATCTATTTAAAAAACATAAGTTTGTTCTGTCACACTTTTTTGGGTACCCTGCAGATTAGTAACTATTTCTATAGATGAACCCAATTTAATATGGCTCACTGTGTTCCGAATAATTCATAATGATTGGAAATTAATTGTATGATTTGAGGAATTTTTGGACGTAGGTATAAGACATGAACAACAGAAATGATTCGAGTTTGGATTTTCACTTGAAAACACTCCTGTAAAATTTCAGTCGTTCAACCGATTTCAATCATTTGTTGAACTGTCGATTAGTAGCTTACCACGGGACGAAATTTACAATATTTATTTTTATGTGAAGAACAATACTTTTTAGTATTTAGAAAAAAATGAAGAATTATATTCAATAACAAACCTTTTGGCGCTCTGAGAGCGGTGCCTGTGCGAAAGTAGCGATTCACCTTGGATTTGAATCGCTGGAGATTAAATCCATTTGGAAACACGAAACTCAGGAAGTTCATTCCGCGAAAACACAATTCTCCAGATGAAAGGGTTCTTAAACAGTGACGTTCGAGGTGTACTGAGTTGAATCCCAAAACGATGAGTAGCCACAGTCCGTCGCGTATTTTTGATATGTATCGCTCTTGGTGGAATCAAATGTGCCAAGTCACTTGAACACTTTCCATGAAAATATCTATAAAAGAGAAACAAATCTCCAACCTTCCTTCAATGTTCCAGACTATCAAGGTTGCAAGTGATGTTCGCGTCTCCAATCAGGCGGATGGCTCTTTTCTGGATGGAATCAAGCAGCTTCTTGGTATGCTCAGGGGCGGAGCTCCATACATGATAAGAATACATACATAAGAATACGGAGACATTTATCTTTCCGGAGAAAGCCGATGCCTAAGTTTTTGTGTAATTGAATTGAACCTGGTTACTTCCACCCCAATCAGAAATTACTTCTAGATCCTCACTAAGATATGCAACCTCCAGCTACCGGTGAAGATGTGCCTCCGTAGTTGATGTCCTTGAATCCAAAAGGAATGACACAGATAACTGTGTCAGAGCTATTTTTCGGCTTTGTTGGTCGTGGTCTGCAGGTCATTATGCCTGAAGTTTCCTCTACGACTGCGGTAGACATTATCCGCATCCGATGCCTTGGAATCCAAATGAAATGACGAGACAAGTGTGCTGTCGTCAGCAAAGCAATATAATTGATTTTTGTTTTTTTCCAATAATTATAAGTCGTTGATACAGAATGAAAAGAGGGTTGAAGACAAATGGATCCCTGGGGATCACCAGCGTTGATGGTGAAATGAGAGATATCCATCGACGGCCACTTGCAGGAAAAGTTCTTTCAGGAAGCTGAAGAGTCATACACGAAAATGATCCGAGAAGCCATGGCATCGAAGTTTACCAACAAACCATCATGCCATTCACGGTCAAAGGCCTTAGAAATATCAAGCGCATGAGAAGAATACTCCAAACAAGGTCTGATCTGAGCTTTATAAAGCATCAAAAGTTGCTGAGGTGTGTATAGTTTTCTGGCTCGGAACAGTGTTGCAAGCTTTTGAGAAGCAGCCTTTGCAAATTCTATAGCCCTCGGAAACAATCCTTATTTCGTTACTTTCAGTGAATATTTATGCTTCATTGAAGATTTCGTTCATACATTTCGTTCATTCATCGAAAATAATTATTTTCATTACTATATGTTGGTACAGGATTTCGTTCGTTTAATTCCTACAATTTTTTATGATTGAGTATATTTCTATAAAATTTCCGTAACATCTTTTTGGAATTACTCTGAATCCAATGGAATTTATCATTATACAAAATTGAAGAATATGTACCAAAGCATCCCTGGAATTGCAATGAACACTTAACAATTGAGAGCTATTGAAAAAATCGGTTTATGAATTGAAATTTCACAGAAGGTTTTCCAATATAACGGGTTATACTTATGCTAGTATATTATTTATTTATAATAACAACCTTCTTCACTTCATTTGTATGTTTTTTTTCAGTCTGCAGCACCTAGCCGAGTTTGGAATTCTATACAGGGAACTCTCGTTCTGGCATCCCAAGAAACCTGAATGTATCACATCAAAAACTGTAACTTTCAACATTGGATTGGATTACTTTTACCCAGCATTCCTGTTTTTGGGTATTGGGATGATGATCAGCTTGATTATACTCACGTTAGAAATCGCGATGAATTTCAAATCAAGCAGATTTGAAAATGAAGTGATTCCTATGTTGCCATTCATCAAGTGATTGTCAAGTATTAGTTTAGGTAAAAATCGACACAGCAACCTTGAAATGGATACAAAAGTTTAATGGTTAATAAAACAATTAAAAAAAAACGTTCTTCAAAAACAAAGTGTTTGGATAACCTCTTGTATTAGTTGACCAATCGAATAAGCACAGAATAATCGCTTACATTTCTTTTCTACTCGGGAAAAATAACCAAACCATTTATAATAAGTTGAATGCCAAGTTTGTTCTCGCCACTAAACTAAAAATCAAACGAACATCACTTGAAAAAGTAACATTTTATTTGAGTTTAATTTTTTCTGTCCTGTACTGAATTCATCAATTCCTTCGATAGCCAAAAAAGCTGATAAGAACAACCTTCCATTGTGTTCCTAGTGTATGTTTTGAATTGATGTAAGTCCGATGAAATATCTCACAGGACGGCAGAATTCAAAAACTACAGGAAGAATTGTCAAAGAGAACAGGTTTTTCAAGGAAGTTTTTGATATCACAGTTCAGATAGGATAAAATCATTATAGAAATAATATTTATATAACTTCGTGCAAAAAGATCAGTATACCTTAATTGATTTTCTAAAGCCTGGCCCCTATTTCTGGGCTCAGGGTATTAATTTCTGACCAAAGAAATGAATCTGTAAAATTGTTCCACAGGTTCTTAGGAATCTTTAGTTACACCTCCAAGTTTGAAGGGAACTGTTCCCTTCCTTGGCAGCTCAGCTGATCCAAACTCGCACTCATCAGCGATTGAATAATTTATCAAAATCTCACACTCTTCGAGTCACTGTGTTTTACAGATTCTACAATTGCAATTGGCCCGTCAACCACTATCAGGATCTCGCTAATCAATATTTTGTTGAGTCGTAAGAGCTGCTTGAAAATTAGTATCCAATAAATAACGCATAAATGCAATTTACTACTCAGGCATTTTCATTGAGCCTAACATTGCCTTTATGGTTCCGCCTGGTTCCAATGAAGAGACTAAGGTGGCTCGAAACGGGGCTGTCTGCGAAATCTAAGTGAACGAAATGAAAGTGAACTTGTACAGATCAATCATCAATATGATACATGGTCTCTTGCTATTCTTCGGGCCGGAAAAGCGTCAGGACAAAGATGTTGTCCCTATCTTGGACCAAAGCTATACAATGAAATTCTCATCAATAGCAGGAATATCAATTCAATTGAAAAATTGGGTCTTTTCAACTCTTCAAATTGACTTGTCGATTAATTGAATTCTTGGTAGTAAAGTTGACTGAAATACGAATAATAGTATTGACATTTCTGGCAATTACACTTGATGAATGATTACATTGAAGTCTCGTGTATTCTTTAATTTTTTTTTTAATTTTAATTGTTAAATTTTCCATATAATCTCTGTATTTGTAAATCTAGTTTTGTCAATTTCTCTATTTTACTCTTACTTTACGTAAGATATTTTTTCTATAAATATCCGTGGACACTTATTTAATACATAGGTGCATCTTTTTACATACTACTTTATCCTGAAAATCTTGATATATTTGTTAGAAACCATTCTACGCATAAATTTTTTTGTGTTTTTTTTTCATTTACTTGCCGTGGATGATAGATATTCTAAAATTGTATTATAATCTTATTTTATGGTAAATGAATATTTTTTTTTTCGAAGCGAAGTTTGCGCTGGTCAGGCCTGAAGCCCCGATACATTCGGGAGAGGGCGAGCCAGCATTATCAGCCAACGACCACTCCCCACACCGTGGGATGAGTGATTATTGGATCCGAAAATCATGTGCCCTGAGTAAGGGTAGTGAGTCAAGAATAACAACCCTCTGCATTTGTCCGGCTGAGAGTTCCGTGTTAGTGCCGAAAGCCGGCATGATCTTGAGATTCGATAGTAGAGAAGGCTCCAATAATCGAAATAACGAGTAGCTGGAAATTCCACGCCAAATATCGTCTTGCTCTGATGGTGTGTATGTCATATATAGTAAATTAATAAATGAATAAATAGTATGCTTACAGGAAGTGACTTAGAGTCTCAGGCGCCTAAGGGCAGGCCCTGCACCTTGTGTCAGGAACCTCCATACCAATCACGCGACTGCGCTAGACTCAGGTGTGAAACACATCATTCTGGCAGGCTATGATGATACCCTCAGTTTCCGTTTTCAGCCCACTCGAACTGAGAAAAGCTTCGATAAGCCAATGTCTTCAATATTATTGAAGGAGACCCCATGTTGGCTTATCCTCGTGTTGCTACAGGAGTGCGGCTTTTATATAAAACTTTTGCTGGACGGGTTCCAGTTCGGTAACACATTAGTGATCATCATGTTCAATGTCAAAAACTAAACCGAGATCATCAGCTGCTCTTGCAGATGCCCTACAGAGAAATGCTCCAATTCCTGCTCTTTTGGTCGCAGACCATGTAGAGATGGGGATCCGAACTCCTGGCGAGTTTACAGGCTCCATCCAGTACCATTTTGTCATGTAGACACTTCAAACTCGAGAGTCCACGGTCTCCTTGTTGCCGGGGAAAATACAATCGTGGAACGGATGATTTGGGATGCAAACTCCTATAGAGGTGCATCATGTTTCGGGTATTTACGTTGAATTGATACAGCTCCTCCCGAGTCCACTTCACTACTCCAAAGGGTACTTGTTGCAGCAACTTTGTTCTTTCCCGACAGTTCCGATGACCAAATCTGTCGGAGTTTGGGCTGATACTTGACGAGGAGACATTACTTTACTGTTGTTACATCCTGAGTGGCGTTGTTCCACCTCGAGGTCTCCGGCATCCAGATGGTGTAGGATGCTTCCATCTACGAGCTGCACATCCTCTCCGTAGTTCCCGCATCGTCCTCTTTTGAGATGGACAATTGCACATTTGTCTATCCCGAATTTCATACCGATAGCATGCGTGCACTCTTCCACCACTCTCAAGGATTGATGGAGACCCTTTTCTCCAGAGGCATGAAGTTTAGGATTCAAAATGAAAATGCTGTTCTGTTGATTTCTCAATGAAATTGTCTATACAATTGCCTATACTTTAACGTACAAAAAGGTGTATATCTCCGGAATCAGCCACATTTGATTTTTTTGTATCATTCAATGAGATTCTGAAATACGCAACTTTGCCAGGATTTAACCAACTCTCTCTTTCTCTCTCTCTCTCTTACTGTTTACGAGATCCGCATATTACGATCCGAATTTGAATAACCCTCTACAGTTGATGAAGAAACCCTTACTCTGAACAGATAACTCAATAAACAATGGTTAATAATAAGGCTGCTCATATTCTAAAGGTATTTAACTCTTTTATTCTTCCGCCATGGCGGGCTTCTCAAGTCATTAGCGAAGAAGTTCAATCGAAGAGAGCAAAAGTACCGACTTTCTCCGATTTGTTCTCCGGTCCTGCAACGCGAAATTTCACCTGCGAGCTCGGCGCATAGTTTTTCGCACGTAGATTCTTCCTTAGCTTTATAAACTGGTGTCGTTCGTGTACAAGGTCTCCGGTGACTTGATCCATATTAACATTCTACGAGTATGTAGGTACGGCATTCGACCATTCTCGGATCTGAACTTGAACTAAGGTCAAAGCTGTTATTGGTGTCACTGAGAGAAGAATTTCGTGAAATTCCCAGGAATCCGTGAGTTTCGGTTTCCATCTAGACAGTGTCGAAAAAACAAAACAAAAGTGAGACGCTGATGTGGACTTTTGTAAAGTGGGCCGTGTTTCTTTGTTTGTGTGTGAAGAAAGTGAGCATGTTAATAATGTCGTCTCAGGAAAGTTTGTCTGCTTGAAGAAGAAATCGATGGACTGACTGCAATATCGAAGTAGGTGAGTCGAATTTTTCTATCGCAATCGTATGTAAAGAAAAGTAAACAAACATTCTATTTTTAAACAATGCAACACAAACATTGCAATTGAACAGCCAATGTGATCAATGAAGTAACGTCATGTTATTGCCTTCCATGTTGCTGTGAATTTGGGAAGGCCTAGATGGTTTATTTTTATAATTCATTACACCAAACAACTCATCAGTTGGTCTGCCAGGTCATGAATAAATTAGTTTAAATACATTACCACTGTGAGTTGATTGGTACTGAGTGGATATTGAAGAACGAATGACAAATTCCCCTGTTTGTGAAGAACACAAGCAACGAATATAACTGGAAACTCTCCAAAGACTTAAAGGTAGTTCCAAATGTTTCTCTAGCTCCATATCTCAATAAATATTTATTCTACTGTGTCGTGGAATATACTAATCTATAGAGAATTTTGCAGATGATTTGAAAATATATTTACCTGTCGAAACTATCGAAGACTGTAAATACATTGCGACGACAGTTAGAAAATATACAGACTTGGTGTGAAGTAAACAAACTATATCTCAATGCATCCAAATGTAAAGTAGTGTCTTATAGTAGGAAAATGTCAGTCACCGAGTACAATTATCGAGTAGATACCATTTCACTGTCACGAAGTAACTCAATTAAAGATCTTGGTATATATTTTGATAAAAAATTGCCTTTTTTCAACTACGTTAGATCGAAAGTAAGTAAAGCATTGAGAGTTTATGGCTTCATAGTTCGCAATTGTAGATCTTTTTCAAACATATCTGCTCTATCTACTCTTTCTGTAGCCTACTTAAGGTCAAAATTAGTATAAGGCTCGGTTCTATGGTCTCCATTCTACAATTGCTATAATACATTTAATTGAAAAAGTTCAACGTCGTTTTCAAAAGTTTATTTACTTCAAATCTGATGGTATCTATCCTGATAGAGGTATTCCATATGCATCTCTTACCATAACATTAAATATTGAGAGTCTTGAATTACTCAGAATACTTGCTGGAATTTTTTTTTGTCTAAATTACTGCACAACAATGTGAATGCTATGGAGGTATTATCTTTAATGAATTTCTGCGTGTCTCATTTTAGAACTAGAAGTACAAAGACTTTTCACAGCCGACTGGCCAGAATCAATTTGTACCTCAAGTCACATATCTTTAGCATTTGCAATAATTTCAATTTAATTTCAAATTTGTGTAATATCAATTTTGATTTCCTAGAATATATTGTTGACACTGCGTTTCAGTATTTCATGGAGACTTTTTAAGTTTCTGCTACAGTTTTTTTTTAATTTTATTATATTGCTCAGTTAACCCTGTAATTGGTTTTCAACTGTTGGATAATGAAGGCTATTATTATTATATTATTATGTAACTTGAAAATTGATGCTGTTCATCAATAAATGATAATCGTATAACAAATTCCAAGATTAAATCGAAAACAATGTGGAACATTCTGAAAAATACAAATGATGCTAAACTAATGAATAATAGCTGCATCACAATCAAAACAGAAAACAACACGATGATATCAAACCCAAAGAAAGTTGCTACGATGTTCAACAACCCCTTTACAACCAAAACATGCAGTAAGAACTCAGGTAGTAATGCGTTAGCGAAGAACAAATCTACAATATTTTTAGAACCGACTAATCATACAGAAATATACAATATTTTGAATGACCTACAACCGAAATTTATTAGTGGACTTGACTCCATCCCCACTGATTTAAAACAAAGCTGGGAGATACATTTGTGATCCTCTGGTAGATGCAGTAGACCGACACCCATTCTACCTTCGCCTTCAAAGGTCTTTGAGGGAGTAATCTACAAGCGATTGCAAACATTTTTGAATCTAAATAAGAAACTTGCTCCACAACAATACGGATTTAGACAAGGGATGTCAACTGAATTTGCAATTCATAATGCGATAACAGAAATTAAAAATAATATTGAAGAAAAAAATAGGGTAGGAAGCTTGTACTTTGATCTATCAAAGGCCATTGACATGGTCAGTCATACTATTTTACTAGATGAACTAGAAGATTATAGAATTAGAGGCAATACACGCGACCTTATAAAATCATATTTGTCTGGAAGATACCAAGTCATAGACATTCAAAATGACCAACAAACTTATTCTGATAGTAATCTGACGCCTGACGTATTATGTCCTCAGTTGATTTTATGACAATAAAGAATATTATTATTATTATAATTTCGTTGAGCCATTATCGGCCAGTTTTTCTCTACGAATTAAAATTGAACCATAGCACTGCCGAAACAGTTTAAAATTCAACCAGACATTTGGCAGTGATAGTGTTAATGAACGCACTGTTAGACGTTGCATTGCAAAATTTCGATCCGAAGAATTTAGCCTCTAAGATGAGCCCGGAAGTGGCCGACCTACAGTAATTCAGGACAAGGATTTGAGGATCCTGGTGGAGATTGATTCATCACAAACGGTGCGTGGGATGGTGGAAGAACTGGTAGTCAGCTCCCATGCGGTTATTGATGGTTCAAAACAAATTGGAAAAGTCAATAAGACCGAAAAGTAGGTGCTCCACGATTTGAACGATCGACAGAAATTGTCACGTTTCGAAGTCTGCTTCTTTTTTGGATCGTCACATGTGATAAAAAGTGGATTTTCTACAACAGTGGTTCTTAACCTTA